TGAGAGCCCAAAGGAGCAGGAGGGCCCGTCTTCGTTGATATCTGAGGAAGGCCAGGGAGGCCATGAATCTGGATACGAGGAGGCCGCCGCTCGCCTCTCGTCATTCTCCTTTGGATCTAAACCCACGCCTGCCCGTGGGGGGACGTTTCCACCCAAACGTCGGTCCCACAGCCGCCAACCCTCCGCACCCCTCTTTGACATGGCTGCCTCCCCTCTCTCCTCTCCGACATCTCCAAACCGCCTGTCCACTCCATCCTCCCGTCCTCCGAGTTTATTGCTCACCCGACCCACCCCAGGCCTTTTGCCTTCTCCCAATTCTTTGGCTGGACCGAGCCGCGTTGGCTCTCCATCTTCCCCGCCCACTCCCGTGAGGAGAAAGCAACACTCGCACACCCGCTCCAACTCCATCTCCCTGCCCAATCTCAAACTTCAGAATGCCCAAGTTCGCCCAACCTCTCTTGGTGTTCCCATATCACCTGGCTTCTCGCCTCTTACGTCGCCAGTGTCGCCCAACGGAGACATCTCTGGCAGACCGTCGAGAGTAGGCCCTCTCAATGGGCAGAGACTCAAGTTTGAGCCTTCCGGACGTGGAGCAGAGGCCGAAAAGGAGAGAGAAGAGTCGAGGAAGCAAGCTCTGGAGAAACTCACGGGTGCGCCTCTGGAGATATCGAGATCTAGATCGCCTGTGGTTGAAAGCCTGGTAAACGAAATCTCTTTGCCTGAATTGGATGATGAAGATGTCGAGTCGGTAGCGTCTTCCGCCCGACCTCTTTCCGGTCTTGGAGGCTCAGGCTCCTTTTCGTGGAGCACGCAGTCGTCGTTGTCTCTGCCCCTGTCGGCTGTATCGTCAACATCATCTCCTCTGGCAGCGAGTCCATTCTCGTGGGCTTCTCCTACAGACGAGAGGACATTTAGTGACAGACCACTTTCTGGCATCGGCTTTGGCCTCACTTCTTCGCTCCCGGCACCTGTTCCCATCAAAGAAGAGCCTCTTCCGTCTTTCGGCGATTTCATGAGCAAGCAAGGCAAGCGGCCAAGTATGAACCGTCAGCTGAGCGCTCTGCAAGAAGTCGACGAATCGGAAGAGGACGAGGACACGGAGCTGGAAGACGTCAAGGAAGAAGAGGAAGAGGAGGCCCGGCAAACATTTCGGCCCTCCATCATCGTCCCCGCCTTGCCCAACATCCACGCCCAGCCGGCGCCAGTCCCCGCGTCGGTAGTATCTCCAACTGGCCTGCGCCAACTGCGCCTGGTCTCGAGTGTTGCTTCCCCTCGCGAAGTTTCCTCGCCCGCAGACTCTCATCGCTCATTTTCAATCGCTCATGCCACGTCGCCGCCTGCTAGCATCTCGTCAGCTTTCACCCACGGTCCACCTTCGCCCACAAAGAGCTACGGTACCATTGGCCGAGGACGACCAAAGCCTGTCTCCATGTTGCAATCAGAAGCAGAGGACACACCGAAGAGGACCGTACCGCGAAGGTCGACGCCGGGATCTGGGAGTCGAGGGAGCTCCATACCTTACAAGAAGGACACCTCCAGTTCTACTGGGTCTGCGGATCTGGGACTGACTAGCCCCCCTGCCGCCATCCGACCACTGGGAAGTCCTACCAAGAGGACATGGGGTAGACCTTGTCCCAGACCTCGCGGTCTTGCGGGTGACGTTGGCAGCGGCCGCGTTCTCAATGAAGTCGACGAGACTGACGAGGAGTACCCATTTCCTCGCATTCCCTCCGGCCCCTCTGCCCCAACACAGGATAAGCGTCTCTCCCTCTTCTCCGCCACTTCCGAGCGTGTTTCTTCTGAACTCTCGCGAGATTCATTTGAGCAGTCCCGAGAGCAAGACAGATGGAGGGATGTGCAGTTGGAAATGGAAAGGGAGAATCAGCAGCTGCGGGATGATGTAGAGTTCTGGAAGGGGAAGAGTATGGGGTTTGAGGAGCGATATGAGAGTGAGAGGAGAGAGGGGTTGGTATTGCGTGAACGTGTGAGGAAATGTGAGTTCGACTACATTGTTACAAGAAATATAGTTGACATATGCGCAGTGGGCAACCGCCTGTCGAGTATTTCGTCTCTTCCCACCGAGCGCCAGTCGTTCGAGTCGTCAGCTCATACCGCCGAGTCTCGCATGGTCGCAGAAATGCGCGAGCAGCTCTTCCAGCTCACCGGCAAACTCGAGCAGGAGCGCAAAGCCAAAGAGCTTGCTCTGGCACAGCTCAGAATGGTCGTGGCCCCAAGAAACGAGAAGGATGTCGAGACCGAAGACGCGCCCGAATTGCGCTGCGATAGGAGTGAAAGCCAGAGGGACAGTACACCTAGTATTGTCACTCCTGATCCAGACAGACGTGCGCCTGTATCCCCGCCTGTCACCAACCCTGCGCATGAGCAACTCTCTACCATTACCGACGCCGAGAAACGCCTCACGTCTGACCTCTCCACTCGTTTCAGAGGCTGGGGCTTCCCATCTGGCCCACAATCCACGTCCTCATCCACAGAAGGCACCCAGACGAGCCTGGCGAAGAAGCGAGAATCCTTCTTCGGCTTATCCAACCCTCTGCGTCGCGCGAGTAGCGATGATGCTCCTGCCTCTCGATCTGGTGTGGACCTGCCGCCATTTGACATTGGTCTTGGCGCCGAGCTTGGACCTGATATGTTTGGGCAAGCAAAGAGAGTTGTTTCCGACCCTGCAAACCCTTACTCCCTCTCGATGCCTACTATTGCGCCTGGTAAGCAGTCCGGAGGGTACGCGGGCTTTGGCTTGCCACAGTACCCTCAGCCGAGCGTGCAGGCGAGGCATCATCAGGCGCCCGAGTATGGGTATGGCGAGGCGACTGGTGTGAAGAAGCCGCTGGATTTTTCGAGGACGTGTGAATGTTGCGTGGGGGAAGTTATCGAAGTCTAGATTATCTATGAGCAGCTTACAGGGCTTGGGAATCTTTTTTTTTTTTTGTATCTCTAATTCATCATCTTCATTTCTCTTCTTCTACTTCTCAGGATAGCTTCTTTCTTATCACGACAAGATAACGGACTTTTGATCGGATGAGCGAGCGTCACGAAGGAGATCTCTGTTGATAATAAATCTGTAATACATCATCCTTCTATTGCTCCCTTGCCTGTTTTAGAGATTAGGGAAGCGTCTATATATAATTCATAGTCATTCATCTTGCATTGCTGTGCTGATGCAACGCCGTCTGTACAGACTGGACTATTGTACATCCAACCTATCTTACACTTGATCAAAGCTCATCTCTTCTTGTAAACGCATCCCTTCAAGATCCCTTCGCCCTCCTTGACCCTTGCGTCCCAACCCTTCTCCCCTCTCGCTGGGCCCTGAGGGACTTCAGCCTCTTTCACAAACTTGAACAGTGTAAAGTGTGTAGAGGATTGCGATTCCTCCTCGAGAGAGAAGCCGAAAGAGATGACAAGCTCGGTGAAGGCGGGAATGTCAACGAAACGGGAAGTCACTTCTGCGATGTGGAATTCGCCTCTGCCATTGCCAGGTCAGCGCTTGCAAAGTCTTCGAGGGAGGAGTTGGAGGAAAGCAACGTACCCTTGTTTCAGAATGCGACACGCCTCATATATGCCCCCAACCCAGTTGACACCCATCAAACTCAGACAGCAGACCACCGCGTCCACCACCTCGCTTGCTGCAGGGTTCTTCTTGGCAACTTGTTGCTTCTTCTTCTTGCTCTTCTTGGTCTCCTCAGCAGACGAGGAGGTAAAATTGAGACCTCCAGGTCGACCGGGAAGCGGGACGTGGGTCAAAAAATCGGCTTCAACGACCCATCCCTCGCTCGCCTTCTTGCTCTTGCCTTGCGCGTCGTCCTGCGCCAGCAACACACTATCTCCCACCAAATCATAACTCAGCACTACCTTTCCTTTCGGTACAAGCTCTCTGGCGAGACCGGCATCACCGCATCCAAGATCGGCAATGATCGCTCCAGCGCGAAGAGGGGAGAGGAGGGAGACGAGATGAGGGAGAGGTGGAGAGGGCCAAGCAGCTGTCTGTAGACGGTGACTTTGGTGGTACTGTACAATGTTTAGGGCCGACAAAAGGTATTGGGAAGAATGACTCACGTCGGCAAAGATCTTGGGGTCCTTCTTCATCATAGCGACAGCCTCGGTTGAGGGAGTAGAGTAGAGCTGCTCGTTGATCCACCTTTGGATGATTGTCAGCAGACTCTGGACAACCGGTGAGTGATTGAAACTCACCTGAAACGGGCACCGCCGAGCTTGTCTTGCATCTTCTGCTGCATATCTGACATACCCTCCCCACCGACCTGCAGCTTTGTACCAGCATTGGGGATTGAGGGAATAGGAAGTTCCACGGGGACAACCTTGGCGGGTTTGGTGGCAGGTGTTACTTTTGACTTCTTGCCTTGAGGCGTATCGCCCTTGTTCTTCTTTTGAGATTTGGCAGGAGATGAAGAAGGCTCGTCATCGAAAGCGCTGATGCTCTTCCTTCCCTTGTCAGCTTTGAGAGCAAAGGAAGGGGCAGGGCTCTGCTCTACAGCCTTCTCTTGCCTCTGCTTCTTCTTCTTTCCTTGCCCTGGCAACTGTCCCATTCCCTCCTTCCCCTCTCCCTTCTCCTTGACCACAGAGCTGTCGCCAAATCTCTTGAGAAGCTTCTCGAAATTGGCGTCGGCTTGCTTTACCGCGGCATCTTGCCCTTTGCCTCCAGGTGTATTTGTGTTGCCGGTCGATTCCCTCTTGCGTTTTGGGGCGTTTTTGCCTCCGGACTTTGCAGCGGCGAGGAAGGCGTGTGTAGGACCGGAGAATGAGGTGTCAAACTTGGAGGGGAAGAGAGACATCTTGGGAATTGGACGAGACAGAGGGGTGCGATGGGGGATTGTTCAAAAATGTCGAAGCAGAATGGACGGATGGAGGACCTCCACCGCTGAAATTTGATCCCGCAATTCACCCTTCTCGTGTCCTGCGGTGGTCTATGGCCTCTATCATTGGCATCTCTACTTGTAACGACTGGAGAAGCAAAGACCAAGACAATGGGTAAGCCTGCATTCTTCGAGCATCATGTGTCATCGCTGACCGCGATCGTGTCTTATAGATTACCAAGTGAGCCGCACTCTTTCCGCGGGCATCTCGAAAACAAAAGACTAATCAATCTACAGAATAGAGCTGGTGCAAACAAGGGCAGTGGTGGTGTCGGTGCGTACTTTGATAGTGGAACTCAATTGCACCATGGATGACTAACGTGTGATTCTAGCCGGCGCGTCCGAAACGGCCATAGACAGAAGAGAACGTCTCAGGAAGCTCGCTCTGGAGACGATCGATCTGGCCAAGGATCCTTATATTCTCAGGTGTGTCTGCGCAAGAGCCATAGGTAGTCAACTTACACTAATGCACTGTCAGAACTCACTTGGGTACCCTTGAATGCCGTCTCTGCCTCACCCTTCACGTCAACGAAGGCTCTTACCTCGCCCACACCCAAGGCAAAAAGCACCAGACCAACCTGGCACGACGAGCGGCCAGGGACAACCAAGACCAGCAACTGATGATCCAAGCTCCACAGGTTGAGCAGACGGTGAAGAAGGCGTTTGTCAAGATTGGAAGACCTGGTGAGTTTTGTTACATTGTCTCTTTTCGCTTGATGGAGTTGGGGTTAGACGGATTGGTGCTGATGATGTCCTAGGATACAAGATCATCAAAATCCGCGAACCGGTCAGCCAGAGGATGGGCCTGTTGTTTACTGTTTCATTACCCGAGATCAAGCAAGGAGAGAGACCGAGAAGAAGGTTCATGTCGGCGTTTGAACAACGGCGAGAGGTGCCCAATAAGGCTCTCCAGTACCTGGTCGTACGTGTATTTCCTTGTCTTCTTCATCTCTAGGCCCTTGTCCACGAGTGTCCCGGAGATTGGTGACAGGATGGTCGCTGATGGTCGCTTTAGCTGGCAGCCGAACCCTACGAAACGATCTCTTTCGCCATCCCCTCGAAAGAGATGGTGGACGCCGAAGAAGACCCAGAGTCGACGTGGGAACACTGGGATGGAGACGAGAAGGTATACAGCTGCCAATTATTGTACAAATAATATCATCGTAGAATCTGAGGCTGAAGATACCAATCTGATGTATCTGGTTTGGTATATCGATCGTCCGAACGATTGTGCCATCTCTTCATGTGACCACCCATATTGTGTCTGCCCTTGAATCCTTAGATCAGCAGATGGACGCTACGGGCCCGCATATTCCTGCAACCTGCATCCGGAGCGGTACATGTGGTACATGTGGCATCTTTCGATCATTATCCTCCTTCCATATTCCCTTGCTCCTTTCTTATCTGCTGAAGCTTCCACTGGCCTGGGCGGCGTTGCCCATAGCAGACATACGTTCTCCGACCTGTTTGTTGACCTGCGAGAACAAGAAGGGGTCAGCTCTTGCCTTTTCGTGGCCGCAGGCTGATATAAAAGTATCCGTCATCGTCCGCCTATCCTCCCTGGTCCTTGTCATACCGCCTCCCAACAAACCCAGCGAAGATAATAGAACAAAAGAAGGAAGGAAAGAGGCATACCTCGAAGAACTTGGAAGTACATCTGTCAATGCACACACTCTCGCCCTTCAAAAGGTCTCCTTCGGCGTATCGGTGGTTGAGGGGGTTGGAGGAAATGCACTTGGTGTGACAAGAGTTGACGAGTCGGTTGCTACATGAAAAAGTCAGAATTGATTGTGGTAGCAGTTGGGCTTGACATACAAGACGTCGGTGATCATATCTGGCACTTCGATCAGCACAATGTACAATAGGAATTATCGAAAAGAAATGCATACCGAGCTCAGCAGCGGCCATTTCGATCTTGGCGGGGTCAATAGATCCCTCAGCTGACTCTACAAGTGATTACATGGTCAGCTGCATCCCTTAAGCTATGACAAACACTCTATGGATTCGATAGACGAATCCAGAGTGACGAGACAGTCTTTTTGAGGAAGAGATACGCACTGCCACCACCGAAAAGGAAACTCATTGTGTCGTTTGTATGTAGTGTTTGAGGTTATAGGATATAGAGGGTGCACTTGGCGATTGTTAAACCTGTTTTCTTGTGTTGCGAGTATAGAGAGTGCACCGTTTTGACACTTTGGCGATGATGCGCAAGAGAAGCAAGCCGAACCAATTTGATCCCGTTCTCTGAAATTTATGCGGCCATCGCCGCCGAGACCATGTGGAGGCGCGCTCATCTCCTCTGTCATGTCGACTTTTCTCGAACAGCTATATAATTCCACCAGTGCATGTCTGGGATATCCGTAAATATCCCCAGATCAGCCTACTCCCCACTCAAAACACTATCCCGGCCACGACAGATCTCACCCGCCAGACGAGCCGACATGACGCCGACAAACTACACCTCGAAACACCCCGAATCCCTCCCCGTGCTCCTTTCGGCTCTGCGTGACCTGCAACTCACAGACCCGAAAGCGATACGAGCCACCACCCATCTCTACCCCTCATCAATGTATGCCCCACAAGAAGGGTACCGGGATAGGAAGATCGTGTCGTGGAAGATGACGGAGCACATGTACTACAAGAAGGCACAGATATTTCCCACTCTTGCAAGAGGGTTGTTTACCGAAAGACTGGAAGACGGGGATTTAATGCCACCAGGAGTGGAGGAAGGAGAAGAACGGATAGTGCTGAGAGGCTATGACAAGTTCTTCAATGTCGGGGAGCTAGCTTGGACTGAAGTGAGTTATTTTATGCATAACCGTCTCTTCCTTGCATTATACCTCTATACCCTTTCGGGATGAGTGCTGATACACTATGACAGTGGGACTCTATGGCCAAACACACTATCGGTCCATACCATCTTACACTAAAGTCCAACGGTTGCCTCATCCTCATCTCGGCCTTGGACCTGGAACACCTGGTGGTCGCAAGTAAGCATTCATTGGGAACCACTGTGGAGGGTGGACGGCGAGGAGAACAGAGGGGCAATGTTGCCCAGAAAGTAGAAGCAAATGAAACGAGTGTCGAGAAGAGCCTTAAGGCTCTGGACATCTCAGAATCCGCCGAGAGCGAGCAAGCAACACCATATTCCGCCGAGGCTGACGTCGCAACGGATTACGATAATGGTCCTTCGAAATCGGCTCAGAAGAGAGCCGCGAAGACTGCTCAGAAGGAGGCGATTCGGTCCCAGAAGGAAGCTGCTGCTGCCGCCCGCGCCAAAGCACAAGAAGCCGCTCGATCCGGTATACCAGCGCGCGCACGAGAAGAGGCCAAAGAACACGAAGAAGCCTTGCAGCACGCAGAAGTCGGGAGACAATGGCTGAAGAAGACTTTGGAGAGGAGCGGAAAGACGGAGAAGGAGCTTGCGAGGAAGCTGTGGGAAGGAAATATGACTGCTGTGTTGGAGGTGAGTACTTGCAAAGCACCAAGTCCAGTACACGCTGATGAAACTTAGCTTTGTGATGATTCTTTTGAAGAACACGTCATTGCTACGCCCGAGCACTGGACGGGTCTGCATCTTCACGGCCTGAATCTCAACACGCCCCATTTCGCCACCCTCCCTCCCGAAAGCGTCTCTAGTATCGCCCAAGAATTTGGTTTTATTGAGACCAAGTATCTCACTATGGATACTCTTGAGGAAGTGAAGACTTGGACGGATGAACTCGCCAAGACAGGGAGCTGGGAGGGGGATATGATCGAAGGATTCGTTGTGCGTGCTACAGTCAAAGATGTGCCACATGACAGAGGTTCCCCGCCATACAAGCCCGACGCTCCCTTCTTCTTCAAAGTCAAATTCGAAGAACCCTATCTACTCTACCGGCAGTTCCGTGAACTCACTCGCGTTCTCTTACCGCTCGCCTCGCCCGACATCAAGCCAGCCGAAAAGGAGGCTGTCTGGCAAGCAGCCCGTGCCAAGTCGAAGAGGGCCGAACTGAAGGTGTACGCCCAGTGGGCAGCGAGCATGATGGAACAAGAGCCCACGCTGTTTGATGACTATAATAAAGGCGTCGTGAGGGTCAGGGAGAGGTTCCTGGCTTGGACTGAAGGAGAGGGGAAGTCCAAGTGGATAGCAGCGAGGGAGGGGAAAGTTGACAAGGTTGAGAGGAAGAATGCGAAAGAGGGCTTGCCGAAGAAGTGGATCATTGTCCCCATTGCTGTTCCAGGTTGTGGTGAGTACTTCCGGCTTGCAGAGAATCCAACTGACTTTCTCAGGCAAAACTTTCATTGGCAACGCTCTTGCCAGTATCTATGGCATCGGACACACTCAAAGCGACGACGTGACCACCAAACGCTCTGCTCCCGCTTTCATCCAAAGCATCACGTCCCTCCTTCTCTCTTCCCCCTCCAACATCGTTTTCGCCGACAGGTGCAATCATATCGCCGATCACTACCGCCAGCTCGCCGCCATCGCCTCTGACCGCAAGCTTGCTAAATACGATGTGCGCCTTATAGGTGTGACCTGGGGCTTGGACGAGATACCTTATTACAAGGTCCTCAGGGTTCTGAGCGATAGGATCGTGGCCAGGGGAGACAACCATCAGACTCTGAGGCCGGATCTGAGTGTAGAAGCGGAACATGAGGCCATTGTAGGAAGGTTCATGAGAAATTACGCTCCAGCGGATCCCGAGATCTTTGAGACCTTCATACAACTCTCCGTTCTCGACAATGCCAGGGAAAGTCTGGGAAAGGTCATTGAGGGGCTGGAGAAGATCATCTGTTTGCCCAAACCTAGTGAGGAGCAGGTCCTGGCAGGCATCCAAGCCGCTGAACAATATCGCGTGACTACGCCGTACCACCCTGCACCAAAGCTCAGCAAGCCTACCCGGTTCTACTCTCTCCAGCTTGAGATCGACCTCTGGGAATTTGCCAGTCGAGCTATCACCTCTCTATCACATGGCCAGACGTCACAAAACGGTGCAAAGGCATTCCTCGATGACCTCAGGCGAGACCAACGCATCACTTCACGTCCTCATGTGACTCTCTCACACGAGACAAACGTCAAAGCCGAAAGACTCGAGGGAGGGCGAGCTGCAGAGGATGGAACGCCGCTTGAGACCGGACAAGACGCGGGGCTGGAAGAGACCATGTGGGAGACGTGCAAAACAGTCTTGACTTCAGACTATCCGACGTTGTATGATTACGCGTTGAGCTACTTGGTGTGGGATGACAGAATGATGGCGTTTATGCTGGACGACCTTCAGCCTGCTTCTGCTTCCTCTACCGAAAGGACTGCGGACGACTCCCACCACATCGGCAAGATCCTTCCACCTACCGCTCGTCGTGACCTGCACGTCACCGTTGGTACCGTCAGCCAAGAGGTCAACCCCTTCGAAAGCCGCCTGCTTGTGAGGCAGTTGAGAGATAAGATGGAGCGGGGCGAGGAGATTGGGGAAAGTGGGGAAGGAGAGCAGGTCGCGGACGGCGGTGGAAAGGTCAGATGGTTGAGGATCCAGGGGCTGAGAGGGCAGGGACGACTGCGAGCGATGGGGTAGTGTGGGACTTATGAGGAGGGGCTCATGGGCATGTCTCTGTGCCAACTGGCAGCCATCACCATTCAGATATCTAGCATCACTGTTAACATTATCACTCACCATGCATATAATATCTTGTATTGACATATCAGGCTTTTGAAATGCGTTGGGAGATAGCGAAAAATCTGGAGTAGTGACAACCACGAGGTGACTTCTGAGAAAGGTGTTGCGCCTGTTGGGAGCCTCGTTGTGCGAAGGATCCCCACCGAGTCGAAACATGTGTTATGCTCACGTGGGTCACAAGAAGACAGACCTTGCGACAGCAGCGCGGGAGGAGGTTCGGACAGCATGCTTCTTCCGTGTTTCCGCCTGCGACTCGCCACGTTTTCCTCGTCTCGCTGACGTTCTCATGGGACGGGCAAACCGGTTGAAGGTCATGATGATATCCTCCTCCACTTTCCGTATGGGACTGACAGTAGGTCAGCGGAACAGCATTTGTTTCTGATCTCTATCAACTTCGTTTCAACAACAGCAGCAGAAGTCCTCCTGGCTTCCTTCAGACATCAGCCATGTCAATGCGGAGCTCATTGGCCATATACCTCCTCTTTTTGCTATCTAATACGATTCCGATCACAGCACGCTCTTGTCTCGAAACTGAAACTGGTAGGTGCGATTTTCTTGCTCTTTTAGCAGATCGACGACAGGAAAGATCGGGAGCCGGGGCTGACTGAGACGGTGACATCGTCCCGCTATATCAGGCCATAAATATGCTTGTGCAGGACTCTCATACGGACAACGCTGGGGAGTGGTGTAGGGTCTGTCTTTGGACTATTGCTCGTCTTGGTATTGTTGGGGCTGTGTTGCAAGGGCAGGTCAGTGCAATGAACCTTGCTTATCTCTTCGATGCGACCTGCTGATACGACCTTTCTTCTTTCAGTGGGGGGCTGTTCAAGCGTCTCACACGAGGTTCAACGAACCAGGACGATGTTCACAGCGATGTTGAAGCACCTCTACCACCCGTGAACAGCCACACAGCTGGGTCCTTCGTAACCAAGCCCTATATCTCACCGTACAGCAAGGAGCACAGCAAGGTTTCGGAAGGATTCAGTGGAGGACGATATGCTCCTCCGAGTAGGTCATGGAAGGAAGAATATAGAGAATCTACTCGATGATCTATCTGCTTAGAATCCGTGAGACTTATAGTAGGTACGGATATTTGTATAAGAAGTTAAGCTGTCAGAATTCTCCCTGTCCTCTGATGCAATAAGCTGTAGATATGCTGCATCAATTGTATGAGCGATGCTACAGGCAATATACCAGACTGTACTCGACTTGTGCAGGTTAGGGCGAGGAGCTGCGTCAGGCCGTGCGTCACTCAACATGTCGATTGCCGCGTTGCTTCCTGCGATGGCGTTCACGAGTCAGCGAGCTGTTTAAGCCCCCTGCATATATAGACGGGGCATCTACGCACTCAAGCCGTTGGTTCCACCCTACAGGAAATATCTCTAGCACTGATACGGTGCGTCGACGCCCATCATGATCTCGTGCACGACGACTGTTATAAGCTTCTTCGGTTTGTTGGCTTTTGCCACCGATCGAGTCTCGGCGCGGACATGCCTATACACCGCGACGGGTACGTGTGCCTATATCCTTAGACCGACAACAGGGCGTATTCAAGAGAAAGGCGCATGGACTGACCTGGGTGCCAGGACACAAGTACGCGTGTAGCGGCCTTTCATATGGCCAGCGTTGGGGCATCGCTGTAGGGGCCGTAGTCGGAGCTATCTTGATCATTGTCCTATTTGCACTCTGTTGTGGGGGATGGTGAGTATATATTTCACCCCTACTGTTCTGCGTTGTATCTTTCATGCTGACTGATATCGCCTTTGTCTTTCAAGTGGCTGGCTGAGAGACCGCAGAAGCCGGAGAAGAAGCCGCGGAATCGTCCCTCCTCCTCAGTATGATGTTGAGCGTCCCCCGCCGCCTGTTCAGAGCGAGCATCAAGAAGAGGTAGCAACAGCTCCCGTATTCGACACCAGCCCCACCTATGCCACTAGCCCCATAGCGGCCGACCTCACCCCTGCTGCGTCAACCGTAATAGCCTCCCCGGCGTCTGTCCATCACAAGAAGTTGTACGAAGGCAATACCGGGGGTTATGTGCCGCCTCGTCGGGTTGGATCTCCTGCTTCCGCCAGTAGTGGCCGTAGAGCAAGGGTCATTGATCAGAGATCAGAGAGCGTAGGGGGCGCGTAATGTTTTGTTTTTGTGGCCTGACTTGAAGGGTGGGGTGTTGTCACGGCCGAGCTGGGACGCAACTACGTGTGACAGGTGTGGTGGCCGATTTTGTGGTATGTTCGAGATGGAGGATCACCATGTCACGTTCTCTTTAGGGACTATTCTATGCAGCGTTTTGTGTGCACCCTTGAGGAATGTGTTTGATAGATATTGGCTGCATGGTCCGTTGACTTCACCAGTAAAGTTTCCTCCGACTTGATCATATCCTACTCGTTTTTCTTCTACTACTGCCCGGTCAACCCGAACAACGACTATGGTTCCTACAGTATCGGCCATACCCCTAGCCATGCTATTCTCCACCAGGCAAGCATCCGTAAGACACTGTGGTTACAGTTCCACAGGGTCCGAGTATGCTTGCAGTCGTCTCTCGGTCGGTCAACGTTGGGCTATCGCCATCGGCGTCATCGCTGCTGTATTGATCCTATCAATTCTCGTCTGGTGCTGCTTTTGCGGAGGGTAAGACTTCTTTTACAGATGCATGCTCTAGGACATGTACTGATACAGTCTCTCGCAGGGCGGCGATAGCAAGCAAGTGGCGACGAAGGCGACGGACGCGGTGTGGTAGATGTTGAGAATCGCCCGCCACCGCCCGTGGGTGTGAATCCATATGCTGGGCCTGGTGCGGGGTTCACCCACCAGCTGGGGGCGGAATATTCTTATTCTGGGTATCCGCCTCCTCCTGTTAGGGTGTAGCGCGGAAAGATATCATACGCGTCTCGTCGGATAGACATTTTTGTAGAGATCATCGGGAATCCGTGACGCATGTATGTAGCCCCTCCTCGATGACTGTGGGCGACTACAGGGTACTAGATAGAACGAGCACACCCACATGTATCCGCGACCTCCGGCTGCTACCAGTCTCCCTCCTCCTCCGATGATCACATTGTCGTCATCAGCCAACGCGACAGTGCAGCGGAAAGACAGCAGTCTTTGATGTGTTTCCTCCTCTCGAGAGCAATGTCTACGTAACTCATTCCATATCTGTCATTTCTCTTCCCCATCTCTTCAATCATTCCAAGATGAAACACGCACTCAGCAGTACAGTCTTCTTTGGGCTCATGGGCACTGCCTGTCAAGCCTTGACGATCACCTTTCCCGTCGCCACTGTCGGTGAGCCGGGTTGGTGGTCGAGGGGGGATCACCTGATCAGATGGGAGGTGAGTGGCTGCCCATTCCGCCTTCTTTAGTAGCTGTACTGATCATCTTCCGTGCATAGGACTATGACGCGAGCAAGACTTTGGACATCTCGCTCACTTCCCCAAATTCCACCACCAAGCAAACCATCCTCAATGACATTCCGGCCGATCAAGGAGTGGCAGTCTTCACCTCTCCCCACCACCTTGCCGACGGAGACTACATCATCTCCTTCAGCGTCAAGCCCAATGGCGAGGATGAAGCTTCCAACTTTTCCGTCTGGCACGGCATCGAGCCGCCTCTGGATGAGGACGTCAAGTGGAGTGTCTATGGCCAAGCAGCCGATGATGACACCGGTGGATGGGGTGATGATTCCGCTGTGAGCTTGCTATCACCAAGGTAGAAAAGAACTGACAGATGTGCGATAGGCGTCCCCCGGGATCAGTAAGGGTATGATCCCTTATGTCCTTTCCTTTGCAGGATTGGCTTTGGGCGTGCATGCCTTCTTTTAGAATCTTCCTCGAGGGTCTTCTGATACAGAGGCTTCTGTGAATATAGCGCTATGGATAGATAGCTTGATAGCTCATGCATAGTGAATGTTGAGTGAATGATCTGAATGATGCAAGCGATGATTGGCGGAGGGTGCCGGGGGCCGGGCAGTTCCCGACTTCCCGTGTTGGTCGGCAGGTGATAAGGACACCGCGTAGGACACCGCGTAGGTTTTGCTTCCGCCAAGTCCGAAGTTCGGGAAATATTTGCTTCCGCCAAGTCCGAAGTTCGGGAAATAAAGGATTCCGCAAAGCTGAACCGGACACGTCCGGACCTCTCAAACATGGCCGCAAACCAGTCAAGTCCATCGCACCTAACATTTATAAGTAGTATAGTTACATGTACATACTCGGTAATGGATGCTGACTTCTTGCTGTTTTAATGTTTCATGACCATGCAATGCTGAACAATTTGCCAACCACGTTTGCCAATGGGGACAGCTACTGATTGGAAGGAATACATATGCCGTACTCGCGTACTGGCAACTAATAGTTTACATCTGCAGAGCTACCTGGCTCACCGTTTTTCATACTTGCTACAGCTTTCATGGCGTCGTAAAACTTGAGATACCATCGTCCCTTCCCCCGCCTCTTCTCGCGCTGGGTGTTGGTATCTCTCGTGTTAGACGTCACCGCCCGCTCCTGCTTTGCCATATCCGTATCCATTTTTTTTGCCATGGTGCCTAAGGTTTCCCATAGCTCCCTGACATGCCGGTGATCCTTCTGGGCCACCTGAATCCGCACTCGTTTCAACAACGCTTCGCCCTCTCACCAATTCCTCGCCCAGTTCACCGGCCTCGCGTCTCATCCTCTCAGCCTCGGCGATGCTGTCAAGGACGGATGGCCCGGCTTCCGCAACGCCCAAGGCTCCTGCTGCTCCCTGAGTTGCTTGTGCTCCAGCTGGTCGGGTATCAGTGTCACTCAGAGACGCACCAGACATCCATCCACCACCACCATGATGATATTATGCTCTAGCGTGTTTAGTCTGATTACATAATGTCCGGGAAGTCTAGTGACTGGACATGCGGAAGCAAAATGAAAAGGTAGTCAGGGTAATACTTGATAAGGTTATTTGGATGCCAATTTCATATCATTTTTCGTATTCGTGCTCTTTCATATTCCGCTTTCATATCCTCTTTCATATTCTCCTTTCATATTCCTCTTTCATACATATACCTCCCTCTGCCCATTTCCATCCCCATCCCCCGCCATGGCCATCCCCCTCGCCCACTTCGACGCCACCCGCAAGCAAAACTATGTCGGTGAGTCGCCCCCCTCCTGCCCTGTCCCCCCTGACACCCCGCAGAGGTCTCCTCCGCAGGCCTGGGAGCCCAGATCGTAGCCTGCTCAGACGACTTTTTCGTCTCGAGACACAACCTCATCAAGCCCACCGTAAGTCGTCCGTGGCCGCCGTCGTCGCACATCAGATGTCTGATCACTTGCCTGTAGCCGTCTGTATCCATGAAAGGGCAGTTCGGACCGAACGGTGCGCTCTACGACGGCTGGGAGTCCCGGCGCCACAACCCGGCCTTCGACTGGATCATCATCCGCCTCGCAACCCCCGTCACCTCCATCCACTATGTCGACATTGACACCTCGCACTTTAACGGCAACGAGGCGCCCCAGTCTCAAGTCTTTGGCCTCACTCTCCCCTTGGACGGGTCTGTCCCCAAATGGACCCCGAAAAACGAAGGATGGGAGGAGATCTTGCCTCTAGTCGACTTGGGACCGGACAGCAGGCACATCTTTGAAGTCAACAATGTCGGCAAGCAAGGCAATTTTGGTGCTCTCATGGTCCGTATGATTCCAGACGGAGGTATGGCCCGTTTCAGAGCCTACGGTCTTCCCCACCCTCCCTTCATCCCGAAATCTTTGCCTACCAACTGGCAGTCTCTCGAGGCTACCAACCTTCTCTCCCCTCTGATCGGCGGCCGTATCATTGCCTGCTCTGACGCCCAGTTCTCCCCACCTGGAAACCTCCTTCTGCCCGGGAGAGGACACGATATGTCGGATGGGTGGGAGACGAAGCGGAGCCAGGCGGGGAGGGGCAAGTATGCGCCTGGGGGTAAGTTGGAGGGTCAGGAGAGGAAGGAGTGGGTCGTGGCGAGGTTGGGGGTGCCCGGTGTCATCAGCCACGTAGAGGTCGATACCGCTTTCCACCCAGGCAACTATCCTCGAGTGCGTATGTCATATCCCAGTAGACAGAAGCTGATGTTACATAGGAATGTTCCCTTGAGGCCACCCTCTCCTCCGACGAGTCTCTTGACTCGGCTACATGGACTACCATAGTCCGCAAATCGCCCCTCGGTGCCCACCGTCAACACTACTTTAACCTCGAACCCTCTATCCCCGCCACGACCGTTTTCTCCCATATCCGCTACAACATCTACCCCGATGGTGGCTCCAAGCGCGTCCGTATCTTTGGCCATCCCATCGACCCTACCTCTCCTGACGCTCAATCTGCTTCAGAGGAGCTGATCATCCCAGCCCTGCCTCTGACGCCAGAGACGTTCAAAGAGTACGGCGAGGTCATTCAAGGGTTCTCATTGCCCACTTCAGCGCCCAAGGGAATCAACGTCAACATTGCCAACCAGGGCACAGCTTTCAAATTCCACCGACTCGCTCTCCCCAGACACACATACCCTCCCGGGACACTCCCCAAAGGCGGTCTCCACGTCGGCGCTGTTCAAGCCAAGAGCAAGCTCGACATTTCGCTTCCTCGAAAGATCAGGGTGGACTTGCTGGAAAGACATGCGCACTCGACGCAGGCGTTTATCCCCATGGGCGCGGAAGAGGGGAAGAAGCAGGGTGGATATGTGGTTGTGGCTGCTTTGGCTGGTCCGGATGGACAGCCGGATTTGAGCACTGTGAGGGCGTTTGTGGCTAGTGCGGCGCAGGGTGTCAACTATGGTGTTGGTATTTGGCGTAAGTTATTTTGAGGAATACGACTTGGATTTGAGCTAATCAGATGTAGATCATTCAATGTTGACGGTCGGAGGCGACCTGAACTATGCCATTGTCGAAGCTCAGACTTCTGTCCCGGGCCAGATTATGGATCTGGAGAAAGTCAAGCCGCCCAAAGAGCTGTCCATTCAGGTACCTGCCTTCCCCTTCACCTCTTCTGAGGCCACCTCGTTGGTGAGGCCCCAGCCATACAACCTCACTTCCACCCTCTCCTCCCTGCTCCCCACTGGATCCACCCTCAAACCCATCCCCATCACCCCCGAAAACTTTGCCCCATACGGCCAGCTCATCACCACCTCCCCCTCTTCTTCCCACACCGATACAGAGCATGCTCCCGACGGTCTGACCGTCAAACACAACCGGCTCGCGCCCGTCACCACGAGCTACCCCGAAGACGCAGGGGCGGTGACGGGTATCGCCGTATTCAGGGCCACGCCCAAGGTGGGGCTCGAGAGGGGCAAGGCGTTCGATCTGAGGTATATGGAGAGGCATGCGTATACTTCGCAGGCTTTCATCCCCATGGGCAAGGCCGAGTGGAAAGACCACTCTGAGCCCGCCATACCTTCCGGCGGGCAATTCCTCGTCGTCGTCGCCCCTGCGCACCCTTCCATCCCCAATACCCCCGATCCCACCAAGGTTGAAGCTTTCTTGCTTCCTGCTCACCAGGGTCTTTCGTACAATGCGGGCGTATGGCATCACCCGGTACTGGTCTTGGATGAGACGATGGATTTGGCGTGTGTAGAGACGCAGGTGGCGACGGGGGTGGTGGACAGTGATGAGCGGGATTGTGAGCTGGTGAGCTGGGAGGGTGATGAAGTGTTTGGGAGGGTCTTTGTGCCAGAGGCGTAAAGCAGGGGAAGAAGGGCAAAAAGAAGAGTCTACATATGCTTGCACGAGTCATGTTGAGTGATGCATTACACACTGTACATAGCTGCCTTGTCTATTCTGTGAGGTGGCTATACCCGTTCCCGCTCACCAGGAGGCAAGCTCCCGAGGCCCTCTTTCCATACTTGAGCCACAGGCCATAATCCACGGGTTTATCCGCGCCCCCCACTCAGCGACCTCCTCTATGATTTCACGGCATGCTGTCTTGTTCTCCCCACCGCCGCGATGGCTCTCCTGTACTCCCTGCGCATGGCCCTCTACAGCCTCCTCCTCCTCACCACCTCCTTCATCGCTGTCCTCATCGGCGTCCTCTGCACACTCACTCGCCAGCGCCTCAACACAAACTACTACGTCGCCCGCACCTTCTGGCACATCGCAGGCCCCATCATAGGATGGAAGTTTGACGTCGAAGGCGAAGACTATCTCTGGAGCCTGAGCGAGAGTGAGGGTGGGGGCAAGGCGGGGAAGGAGGGGAGAAGCATGGTCATGGTCGGCAACCACCAGAGGTTCGTTCGCTCGACCCGTGCCGGAATTCGCGCTGATTCGCTCGAGCAGTATGGTGGACATTCTCTACCTCGGCAGAATCTTCCCCAAGCATGCTGCTATCATGGCCAAAGAGTCTATCAAATGGATCCCCGGTCTTGGCTGGTTCAGTACGTGTCCTTGCCTCATGTCGTGCGACAGGACGCTAACGCCAGTATAGTGTTGATGTCTGGCACGGTATTCATCAACCGCAAGAACAACAAGTCTGCTGTGGCAAGTATGCAGCATGCAGGAGAAGACATGAAGCGCAAGAAGGCAAGTCTACCTTATTTTCATGACATCTTCCCGCTAATTCGCGTACCAGGCCTCAATTTGGATCTTCCCCGAGGGAACGCGCCACAACGTCCCCGACCCTGATCTCTTGAACTTCAAAAAGGGTGCATTCTACCTGGCTGTTGAAGCCAAAGTGCCCATTGTACCGGTCGTTTGTGAAAATTACAACCGGCTGATGGACGGCGAGACGCGGTTCAAGCGAGGAACTTTGCGCATCAAGGGTGAGTTCAACATTATGTCAAATCAATTGTCAATGCTGAACGATCATCCAAAGTCCTCCCTCCCATCCCCACTACCGGATTGACCTCTGCCGACGTCCCAGCTCTCATGACCCGCACCCGTGAGCTCATGCTCCAAACACTAAAAGAAATCTCCATCCCCGCCCCTCCTTCATCATCCACAGGCTCATCGGCAGCCTCTCCGACCCCTCTTCTCGGCCGACCAGAGCAAGATCGAGAAGGACACTATGGCACTGGCTCACCGGCTGATCCCGTAGGGGGTGAGGAGGACGGCGAAGATGCGGAGGACGCAGTGGAGGACGCCGTCGGCGAGGAAGAAGCGTCCAAGGGCGAAAGAGTGGTTCCCTTGGAGGACCAAAAGCCCAATGGAGGGGTAGCGAAGCGTAGCAAGGGAGGGAAGAAATTAGCGATAGCGTAAGCTAGCGTCCTGACTTTTTGTTGTCTTTTATCACGATGAATGTATCGGCTTATAATGTGTTTCTCTTTGCTGGGTCTGGTAGGATGGTATCCGATTTCTTTCTACCCGTCGTTGGGGGCGTGGAAACGCATATCTATATGCTCAGTGCGGAGCTCATTAAAAGAGGGCACAAGGTCGGTCAATATCGTCAGCATGGCGAGTGTCCACTGACACACTTTTAGGTGATTGTCATCACCCACTCTCATCCCAATCGCATCGGCATCCACCTGCTCCCACCAGCACTCAAAGTCTTTCACACACCTATACCACCAGTCACTGCATCTCAAGCCACGCAACCGAATTATCTCCATCTACTGCCCTTCTTCCGGTCAATCTGTATATCAGAAGGGATCGATCTTGTGCATGGGCATGGTGCTATGAGTTCATTGGGTATCGAAGCGATATTGCACGCCCCATTGATGGGCCTCAAGACGTGCTATACAGACCATAGTCTGTTTGGGTTTCAAGATTGGCCGGGGATAGTGTCGAATCAGCTGCTGGTAGGTGGACTGAGGAATGTGGACCAAGTGATTTGTGTCAGTAATACTGGGTGAGTTTTCTCTCGTGCAAGCAATATCGACTTTGCCTAACCAATTACACAGACGCGAAAATATGGTGTTGCGAGCACAGTTGGACCCGGCGCTGATATCTGTGGTACCAAATGCCATCGTCCCGGAGCAGTTCAAGCCCGATCCTTCTAAAGCAGATCCCGACCGCAGTAAGCAATTTCCTCTCGATTCAATACATCTCTCACACGTATACCAGTAACGATAGTGACGATTGCCCGCCTTGTCCACCGCAAGGGTATCGACCTCCTCATCTCCTCCTGCCCATCCATCTGCGCCCTCTTCCCCAAAGCCCACTTTCTGATCGGCGGGGACGGTCCAAAGATGGTCGAGCTCCTACAAATGGTCGAGAAACATCAGCTCCAGTCCCGCGTCACTCTCTTGGGGCGCGTCTTGCCAGGCGAAGTGGAAGGGGTATTGCGAAGGGGCCAGATCTTCTTGGGGACGAGCTTGACAGAGGCGTTTGGGATTTCACTGATAGAGGCGGCGAGCTGTGGGTTGTTTGTGGTGGGCACCAAGGTTGGGGGAGTGCCAGAGGTGTTGCCGAATGACATGATTGAGTTTTGTCGCGCCGATGAAGATGGTATGTCTCCCTTCCTCTCTCAAAGCCGAGCTGACAGCGAGATAATAGATGTGATAAGAGCACTCACCCACGCCATCAAAATCATCTCCTCCCCGAACCGTCCAGACCCATTCGAATCGCACCGCCGCCTCGCGCAAATGTATTCTTGGTCCGACGTCGCCCTCAGGACAGAGCAAGTCTACTATCGCGCCATGGCGCGCCCCGAGAGGGACGTGGGGGAGAGGTTGGCCCGGTTCTTGACGGTGGGCCCGGTGTATGGGCCTGTGATGTGTTGTATTGCTGCTGTATCGGCGGCTTGGTTTTCCATCCTGGCATTTTGGAATCCAAAGGCGAGACTAGAAAGAAAGACGGCATCGTTGTAACATTCATACCCACATGGTATACCCAGCATGGCAGATAGAATAGATTGAGAATCAACATGTGCATTATGCATTTCTACTACACTTTATGATCCCCACATCCTCTATTTTTTTACTCTCATACCTAAGCACCCTCCTCCGCACCAAGCGCACTAAAGCTCAAAGGCGTGAAAGGATACCCTCCAGCCATATAATGCTTTCCATTCGCCTCAACCCAATGCAACCTCAACGCATGCAAAAAGGCCGACAAACCCTCCATGACACACAAGATACCGACGGTACCGCCAAACCAGGTGGCAAACATGATGAACAAGAAGGTTCCGCGCCAGATGGCACCGCCGGTGGATTCGAATGCGAGGTCGAGGGTCATGGACCAGAGGACTTCGGAAAGTTGGGCGTGGGCCAGGGAGAGGGCCCAGAGACGGAGGTAGGAGGCGGTGTTGGAGATACAACCGAGGCAGAACTCGATAGTGTGGATGACTTGGTGGACAACGATATCGCCCATGTCAAACTCCCCCTACGAATTCGTCAGCGCGGGTTTCACTGTGAGGGGAGATTACTCACGTGCTCGTCGTCAGAGCTCTCGGCAACGGCCATACCGACCTCTTCCTCCTCATCCGCCTCGGTACTGATCGAAGGTCGACCATCACCGTTACCATTCTCCTGCAACCCCTGGTATCCCTGCGCAGCGATACGCTGGTTGTCCTTCCAAAGCATGTATGGCTTCAACGCCAACATCCACGGAACACAAACCAGCGCAGTGAGCAACAACACCGTCTGGATAAACCCTTGTCCTGCGTAGAGCTGGACAGCGGGATCAATGGCACCAGGCGAGAGGAACATGTAGATCAACATGTTCAGCAAGCCGGGTGGGCCGACGGACGACTGGGACCAGTCGACAGACCACTTGTAGATGATGCAGACGACGAGGTAGCCAAAGATGGAGTGGAAGAAGAGCATCTGGGGGATGAACTCGGCGTAGATATTGAGATACTTTTTAAAGTGGAGGTGGTTGGGGACTTGGAGGCAGATGGCAAAAGTCATCTGTACTGATGTCAGCGAGGGCCACAAGGAGTGAGATAAACGTACGTGGATCACACCGAGGATGATGGACATTTTCATCTTGTAAGAGTTGTTGAAGATCAAGGCATTGTCCGCCCCGTGCCAAGTAGGGTCCATACCGAAGGGATAGACGGTCCCGGTGGACACGGCCTCGACAAGACCGGTCGAGTTGGAAGGCCACTCCCAACCGGCTTGCCAGATGTGGAGCGTCTTGGAGAAAATGTCGTTGTACATGAAACCGGTGAAAATGGAAAAGATGCCCATGAGGATGATGAGGTATCGGCCGCTGGTCCCTAGTCAGTACGAGTCCACGCGAGAGTGACGGCAACTTACAAGAAGAATGTCTCGAGGTTCTCATTAACACCGTTCTTGGCAATTTGCCTCTCCCAGAAGATCATTGCCGCGGCGGTCAATGCCATCAAAGTACCATGTCCAATATCACCAAACATGACTGCAAACAAAAATGGGAACGTGACCACCGCATACAACCCCGGGTTCACCTCCTGATAAGTGGCAATACCATACGAGTCGATCAAGGTCTGGAAACCCTCGGTAAACTTGTTGGTTCGGTGGAACGTGGGTGGGGTCTGGTGCGTTCGAAGCTCGGACAGGATGGCAGGCACAGAAGTACCAGCAGTGTCCATGGCCCGGCGGAGACCGAGTTGGATGTTGGTGATATCCCTGGTGGGACACCAGCCCTCGGCGACGAGCGTCTTTCGGCCCTGATCATAAGACAGCAAGTTGAGCGTCTTGTAGATTTCCTCCTCGCGCCTGACGGCGTCGGTCCAAGCTTCGAGGGCTTCGGCAATCTTGCCGAGCTCGACTCGCCTGGTCTGGCCCATGTTGTAGAGCACATTGTCGACATCTTCGAGCCTGGCAGAGACTTCGCGCAAAGCATCGGCGCGCTTGTCCTGGGCAGAGTCGATCTGGAAGAGGTTGCTCTTCATGGACTCGGCGACGGTACGGATCTTGTTGAGGAGTTCGGCACCGTGCGCAAAGATGATAAACACATCCTTGTGCGTCTCTTGGCCAGTGACGGCGTCGACGAATGGCTCCTCGATCTCCGAGTAATTCATGTAGAGGTTACCCCTCAAGACTCGCCAGAGGATTCGCTCAAACATGGGCATGCGAGATCGCTCGACGGTTCCCGAGACGAATTCGAGGTCGAACCCGGTGAGGCTCGAGTCGCCGGGGAGAGAGCCATACTCGGCAGCGTGCTCAAGTAGAGGCGCAGTGCCATCGTTTTCGTCAATGGAAGTACGGATCTCGGTGTGGCGATGGCCAGCCTTGACCGGAGTTAGCCGGCGCCTATGTTGGCAAGCCAAGTACTCACCTCGTCAAAGAATCCAGCAGTCTCCCTCAAAACACACCTCTTCTCCTCGAGCTCATTCTTTCTCTTGCCGAGCTCTTCATAGCTCTTGTTCATCTCGGCCAAACGCTTCTCGTGCTCCTTGAGTTTCTCCTCGAGCTCATCATAGGCGTTCTGGGCACGCGGGCCGACGGTGGTGAAAGGAGGCACTGCGTTGAGAGGAGGGATACCGAGAGGAGGAGATAGGGCGGTGATCTGGGAGCGGAAGAGACGGAGACGCCTGGAGGACTCGTTGAGCCGGCGAATACGGGTGTTGAAGGGGCGTTGGAAAGAGGTCAAAGTGGGGTTGAGCTGGGGGCGGTTGTGAGCTGGGTTCCTTTGTGGTGGGTGGGCATGCTCACGTCTTTGAACTGAAAGTTGCCCATCTCTGCGAGCTCGGAGATGGTGTCGTGGGATACTTCCGAGGGGATGTAGAGCTGGACGAGGGACATCTCCTCCGACCCTGGGGGACGTCAGCGGTGTGGTGCACACTATGGGGACTCACGGAAGAGGGAGGGGTAGGGGGTGGACATGGCTGAGAATGCACCCTGCGATGAGAGAGATGGATGAAAGAGAGGATAGATCGCGGTGAGTGACGAGGATGGGCGTAAAGGGGCGCGCGGTTAAGCCAGAACAGATAACGTTATGCCGTATCCAGCTTGTGCTGTTTATTCTTCCATGCGTCCGCTATCTGGCTATGCAGTCAGACAACCCGGGTGCACTGGGCAGTAACCGAGGATGTGTACTGGCTGGGCTGAGAAAACCGAAGCTGCCCCGGAGACTCCGCCCATGGCGACGAGCGAAACCGACCATGTGTCACACTCCCAACGTAGATAAAAGCCAGGAGATAGAAGAGCATGCACCCATCCATACAGTTAGCCGCCATGTCCAAGTATCCCGCCCTTGCAGAGCCCGTCACTCTCGGCGCTCTCCAGCTCCCCCATAGGGTCATCATGTCCTCCCTTACCCGCAACCGCTCCCTCCGTAAGCCCCCTTTCCCACCCCCTCGGCCCTGCTGACATTCCCAGCCACCACCGTCCCCAACGACGACAACGTCAAGTACTACGCCCAGCGGGCCAACCCCGAAACAGGCGCATCCCTCATCCTCTCTGAAGGCACCCTCATCTCCCACCAAGGCACTGAGTGGCCCTATGCCCCCGGGATCTGGGATGAGACCCATGCAGCTGGGTGGAAGAAGGTGACGGATGCAGTGCATGCCCAAGGCGGGCAGATTGTCGCGCAGATTTGGCATACGGGAAGAACGTGTCATCCGGATATGCCCGAGCAGAGTGTTGGTGGAGAGCCCGTATGGGCGCCCAGTGCCATCGGTGCTAGGGGCGGAAAGGTATTTCTCATACTCCAATTTGTGAGCGTGCTAACAGTCTACAGTTCCGTCTCCTCCCCGGACAACCCGGCTACATCTCCAACCCAACCCCGATCCCCGACCCAACCGTCATCCTCGACCAGTACACCAACGCCGCCAAGATGGCCAAGTTGGCCAACTTTGACGGCGTCGAGCTCCACTCGGGTAACGGATACTTGTGCGAACAGTTCCTCAGTGATGTTTCTAACGTCAGGACCGACAAGTGGGGAGGCAGTGTCGAGAATAGGGCGAGGTTTGGGCTGGAGGCTACCAAGAGGTTGATTGATGTCTGGGGTGCCGACCGCGTCGGGTCAGTCAATCTCCTTGCCTTTCACAGGACCACGCTAATGCTGAAGTAGGATCAAGATATCCCCTTTGGGAGGGTACAATGACACCTACAATACCACCCCCGAATCCCGTATCGAGACCTTCAGATACTACGTCTCCGCCCTCGACGACCTGTCCCTCGCCTACATCCAGATCATGGCCTCCACGTTCGGGGACCCTTGCCACGGCGGTGTGCCCCAGGGATTCGACCACGACATTTTCGAGCATTATGGACCTTTGATCAAGAAGAGCAATCTGATTGCGAATGCAGAGTTTGATGCGGCCAAGGGGGAAGAGGCCGTCAAGAGCGGCAAGGCGAAAGCTATCGTCTTTGGCAGGCCGTTTGTCGCCAACCCGGATTTCTATAGCAGGGCCCAGAATGGGATTGCGCTCGCTGAACCCGATGTCAGAGTATGACCCCCACTTGGAGACAAGTAGAAAATAAAGCTGACGTGATATATAGTCGTTCTACCTCCAGAGAGAGCAGGGTGTGAATGGGTCGGGTTACAACGACTATCCAGTGGCGACTCTCTCATAGATGTCATGTGCGTCAAACTAGGGGCTTACACTCTCCTCTCTCTCTCTGTTTGAGTTTTGTCTCTATAGCTGTAGAATACACGTACATGGTGGTGTAGCCATGTATCGAAAGAATGCAAAATATCAGTCAAGGCAGACACTCTCGTCATCACGGTCGAAGGGTTGCCGAGGGAGTGGCTGGAGTGATGGCCGGGTTTCTCTTGCGAGGTGATGCTTCCGTAACAGGACTCGAGTACAGAAGAACGGAGGCGGTGATGCATAGCGACCTCATGAGTTGTTGTTCGATACCGTCCCTAGGGTATACATCATGCTATATGCTAGGAAGCCATAGAAAGAAGAATAACAGTCAAAAGAAATAAGAAAAAGTCTACAAATCTACCGAGAAAAGATCCACTACTACAAGATAATCTATTCCTCGTCGGTGTAAACCTCCTCTCCCCTCTTCCTCCTGGCCATCCTGTCCTTCTTAGCCTTTCGCTTGTCCGCAGCAGAAAGCTTCTTCTCCTTCTTGGCGGCGGCGATGGGGTTACCAAGAGCATCGTACTTGACTTCCTCCTCACCGTCGGCCTTCTTGTCAATCCTCTCACCGGAACCCTGACCCTCGACCCAGTTGTGGCCGGAAGCCTCGAGGTAACCGTCACGCATAGCCCAGACTTCGGAACAGATGGACTCGGAGAACTCTCGGTTGTGAGTAATGATGAGAACACCACCTTCAAAGTTCTTGAGGGCAGCGATAAGAGCGGCAAGGGACTCTCGGTCCAAGTAGTTGGTAGGCTCATCGAGACAGATGATGTGGGGTCGTCGCCAGGTGGCGGCACCGAGAACGACCTTGACCTTCTGACCACCAGAAAGACCTCGCATGGAGTTGTGAGAAACAAACTCAGAGTCAAGACTAACAGCGAGTCAGCGCGGTCCAACGATAGAAAAAGATGCAACTTACCCAAAGTCCTCCATGTGCTTCTCAATCTCCCTCCTGACCAAAGGCCTCATAAGACCCAATCGCTGGGCCTCCCTGGTGTCGAGCTCGATGACCTTCTTCTCGAAACCTCGGCCAACAAGCTCGTCTCGGGAGAACCACATGTTCTCGGCGGAAGAGAGACCCTTGAAGGTAACCTCGTACTCGTAAGACTGCTTAAGCTTCTTACGGGCAACGACCTCCTCGATGAATCGCTTGACACCCTCCTTGATGACGGTGGCACCCTCCTTCATCTTCTGGATTTCCTCCTCGGTCATGACTCGGGTAGCCTTGTTCATCTCCTCCAAGTCTTCACCGGTCTGGTATCGCCAGAGCATGTACTCGAGGGGAGTAGAGTCGAGGTGCATATCGATGTGGTGGAAAGCGTGCTGAGCAACGTAACCGATGACCAAGTTGGGGTGCTTCCAGACCTGACCACCAAGGTTGGGCTCGGTCTCACCAGTCAAAAGCTTGACAAGGGTAGATTTACCGGAACCGTTGGGACCAAGAATGGCGACTCGGGAAGAGAGAGACACCTGGAGGTTGATGTCGTAAAGCTGCTGGACGGCAGATCCAGGGTACTGGAAAGAGACATTTCGCATCTTGAGCAAAGACTTCTCCTTGGTCTTGACACCGTCAAGAAGAGGGGGAGCGGGGAGCTTGAACTGGTAGTCCTCAGCGACATCGAGCTGGTAGTAGGACTTGGCCTCGGGGACGTGCTGGACGAAAGCCTCGAGGTTACCGGGGTACCTCTTGAGCTTGAAGTTGTTCAAGTGGAGAACGTCGGTGACGGTCCTGTTAAGGAAGTCAGAGTCGTGAGAGACAATGATGGAGGTACAGTGGGTGAGGGAAGTGAGGTAGTTGATCAACCAGTCGACGTTGAGGACATCCAAGTGGTTGGTAGGCTCATCGAGCAAGAGGATATCGGCCTTGAAAAGGATGGCTCGGGCAAGAGCGAGCTTCATCTTCCAACCACCAGAAAGAGAACCGATAGAGTTCTTCTGCTTGACCTCGTCGAAACCGACAGACTCGAGGGTAGACTTGATCTCCTCGGGGGTAGCCTGGAGACGCTTGTCGGCAAGAACCCAGTCAATGATAGAGATCTCGGCCTCGGAACCGTCAATGTCATGCTGAACGTAGAAAGTTCGGACCTCGGTGGGGGGAGGGAAGCCCTCGACCTGAGAGTTGATGATGGCGTTCATCAAGGTGGACTTTCCGGAACCGTTTCGGCCACAAAGACCGTATCGGTGACCTCGCTTGAGTCGCATGGTGGCGTGGTGGAGCAAGATCTTGGCACCGTAGGCCAAGTTGAACTGCTCAATGTTACAGAGGTCTTCACCCTCCTCCTCGTCGGCAAACTTCTCGTCACCAGACTCGGCCTCGTCGGCCTTCTTCTGGAGCAACTCTCGGACAGCGGGGAGAGAGTCGTAGGAAGGAGCGGCGAGCTTGAGGTAGGCGGGGAGAGTAGACTCCCAAGTCTTCTGGTCAAAGTTGTGGTGGTTGACCAAAGAAGCGGCCAAGACACCGGCGTAAGCGAGACCGGGGTTGGACTGCTCGACAGCGACACCACCGTGCTTCTGGAAGAGAGCGACAAAGTTGGTGGCGAGGTGCTCACCCTCAGCGATGGGGAGAGGGGGGAGGTCGGAACCGTCAGACTCGGCGGGGACCTTACCGATTCGTCGGAGGGTGACGATGGCACGGTTGGCAACGGATCGGGCCTCGGGGTCGGCAATGGTCTCGGCGGTCTTGATAAGACCGGGCAAGAGTCGGGGAAGGAAAGGTCGGACAGTGTACTCAGAGTCGACCAACTTGGACATGTTGTCGGCAATGACACAGACCTTTCGCTTGGTAGCGGTGGGTCGCTCGTCGAGACCTCGGATAAGAAGAGGAGCGATGAGGGAGATGGTGGGGGCGGTAACCTCGGAAACGAAGGTGGTGGCAGAAAGGAGAGTGATGGTCTTGGGGACCTCCTCGATGGGGTTGAGGAGAGACTTGATCAAGGCAGGGACAAACTTTTCGATATCCTTGTTCTCGACGAGGGCACAAGCCTTCTCGAGGGTAGCCTTGGCAGCCTTCTTGACGTCAGACTTGGTGTCCCAGACGGCCTCGGCAAGCACGGGAATGAGCTGGGGCATAGCCTCACCAGTCTGGTAAGGGGCAGCCTTGACGAGCTGCTGGAGGATGTCGAGACATCCGACCTTGATCTGCCACTTGCCAGAGGTCCTGATCAAGTTGAGGAGGGAAGGAAGGATGACAAAGGCAGCCCAGTGGTTCATGTGCTTGACGACGGCGGAAACAGCGGCGACGGCGGCAACCTTGACGGGGGTGACCTTGTCGGCGAAAGCCTCAAGGAGGTTGGGGAAGATACCGTTCTCGGCGGAGGAGACGACGTAGGGCTCGAGGACCTGGATGGCGCCGTTGTCGGCGAGAACCTGGATAACCTCACAAGCACCCTCACGGGCGGCCTGGGACTTTTTGTCGTTGAGGGCCTGGGAAAAAAAATTGTCAGCTTGTGTTCAAATTTGGCGGCGGCGATTGGTGATGAAACCGACCTTGACGATGGCATCGACGAAGCCGATCTGGGCAAAGAACTCGACACCGGCCTTCTTGGCGGCCTCAGCAAGGGCGAGACCGGCCTCCTCACGGGCAGGCTTCTCGGCGGCAAAGAGAGTGGTAAGGTCAAAAGAAGGAGCCACTGGGGGCGGTCAGTGCTGGGCTGGGCGGTGGGGGTGTGCTCACTCTTGTAATCTATACTCTATGACTGTTTTTGTGTTAGACGCCCCGGAGTGTTTTGGATGGTACAGAAGATGAGAGCTTGAGCGCAGGTGCGACACAAGGAGCAGTGGAGAGAGAGCCCCGAATCGCAAAATTTCTTTTTTCCTGCCGTGGAGCGATAGGCGCGCGACAGTTATTTCCTCATCCGGTAACTGCCCCCACGCCTATCGCCCACAGAGCACGGCGTTTTTCGGCATTGGCGTGTGGCGAGTGAACGTTCATTGATAACCTCACACTTGTAGTACGACATATTCATAGACACTGATCCCATGCACCCCTCTAGCCCCATTTCCGCACCCACCTGCATTCGCCGCAACTCCAGTACCCCATCTCCCTCGGCCCCGCTCCGCAAAACGCGCAAAACCATACATCAACCTTCCCGCTTCGTTTTCCTTCGCCAACAGGGCGCGGAGAGCTGCATGCTTCACAAGAGCGAGATGTAGGCTCGTTGAGAAGAGTGCATGAAGGACACGACCAGTCTCGGGGAATGATTGATTTTGGTTTGGCCGGCGGCGAATGACGGGGAGGTGCAGAAAGATCTTTGGGTTCGGGGGAAGAATCGATAACGATAGGCGTCGTTGCGCTGCCTGATGCTACGGGCTCTTTCTCGAGGTGTTTGCTTGCTGGTCTCTTTGGCGTACTCGCCGTCAGAGTCGGCGCAAGAGTCGACGTGGGAAGGTCCCCCGCATCGACGCCTATACTCTCCTCCTGCGCCTTCTTGACCTCTTTCTCCGCTTCATCACTGTGCTCTTCCGTCTTGCACACTTTATCATCCTTCAGCCGTCTCTCCGCCGCCTATCAAACCGAGTCAGCGCGCACCAACATCCATCTGGGAGAAGAGCTCACCTCGGCAACAAGCTCCTTCATACTCTTCCCAGCACTCCCACTCCCTCCCAGCTTACCTCCCTTGCCCAGTAGTTTCGCCCGTCCCAGCCGCTCCTCTGCAGCTGCGAGCCCCTTCTTTTTCCCATCATACTCATTCCTCCTCACAGCTCCGAGATGATGTCCGTCAGAATGGAATCCATCGCCAGAGTATCCCTTTGTTTTGAGGGCGTAGTACTCTTCTTCGAGTTCTTTTAGTAATGTGTAGAATGGGGCGGCGTGAGGGCCGTGGACGATATGTGTCAGCTATGATAAAGTTGGCTCTTTATAGTGAATGCAGTATGATGAAACAAACTTCGTGAAGCATGACCAAGACCAACTGATCATACTCGTAAAACGTATCTTCCGCCCCTGGCGGTCTCAGACGCAAGTTGATACGCTGCCCACGGTTCGTATTGATCCCCAACAACGACGGGTCTGCCGGTAAGAACTATCGCTCAGTCAGACATCATCGTTCTACAAATGAATGATAGGGACGCACCTCGGCAAGGGTACCGACTTTCCACCCCCTCTTGGACATGATCGGTTTGACCTGACTGGCAATCTTTTCGAGCAGGGGTCGCGCTTGGTCAGATTTGGGCCTGTTGGGGAGGTGTTCGAATCTGCCTATGAGGGACATGTTTGTGTGGGCTGTTGGTCCTTGTTTGGATGGAGAGTGAGAGATGATTGTGATCAGATGTAGGCGGGATAGTGGCGAATGAGCAAGCCCGTCGGCCACAGCATGCATGACGATGCGAGCCCGATTTATTCTCAACCGGTTAGCGCAGAAACGCGTCGGTTTCAGGCGCAAACGTCTGAATCTGACCTCTATGTTGACTGACAATTGTCCAGTATGGCAGGCAATGAGGGAAGAGTGCGCAGCAAGCATCAAGAAGAGCTGCCTCTCCCGCTGCAATCCGTCACGAGCAATGAAGGGGTAGCGCTCTGCAAGTTGACTGCAGTGGGGTCTGGCGCGACGCGTCTTCTTGCACCCCTTGCTGCTATTGCAACGCCACCATGCACCTGGGACTGAGAATCCCCAACGTTGGAGCTGCACTCGGCCATATACCACTGGCGCCTGCTGCATACGTCCCAACCTGCTCGCTGGCAAAGAAAGGTGAGCCATTGAGCGAGACAAGGACGGGAGCAATTCTGTCTCAGGGTGTCCTCTTTGTTGTTTGTCCTTTTCTCTCTCTCTTCCATCTCCATCTCTTTCTCTATCCATCCATCTCTCTCTCCCCCCCTCTCCCCTCTCCCCTGCTCGCCACACTCATTCACGCCCACCGCCACACTCCTTTCACCCCACCCCTTCGTCGCCTGTCTCACTCAATGTACGTCCCATCACACCCCCCTTCATCCCCGCTCACCCATCTACCAGCCACACCATGAACCTCACCCCTCTCTTCCTCCTCCTCCTGCCCCTCGCCCTCGCCCACCCTTCACCCCACGTCAACCCCCACAGACGTCTCGCCAGGTCGATCGCACACGCCGACGCGAACCGCCCCATCCTCGCCAGGGCCGGCGGTGTCATCGACGACGCTACAGAATCCTCCATCGCTGCAGACCAGGCCGCGAGCACCAGCGCTGCCCGCCCTTTGACATCTGCCGCGGCTAGTGGAAGGAGCACGTCGGCGGCGGGGGAGGCGAGCACGAGCGCGGTCGCGAGTAGCAGTGCCGCGGCTAGTAGTAGTACGGCGGCGAGCAGTAGTGCGGCCGCAAGCTCGAGCGCGCCAGTGTCGAGCATCGTGTTGAGCACCAGTGCGGCGTCGAGCAGTGCTGCCGAGAGCGTGAGTGTGACTTTGCAGGGTTTACGGCATGGTGGACGCGACAAGGCTGATACGCGTCGCAGAGCTCTGTTGTGCCCTCCTCTACCTCTTCCGAGGCCGCCACCTCGACATCCTCCTCTGTCGTTGGTAAGTCGCACTCCCTCAAGATCTGAGCCCTTGCCGGGCCAGATCCTTTTCTCCGTAAATCTCGCACCAAAAGCTTCACTAACGCACCAATCATAATGTAGCGAGCTCAACAGCCCCTGCATCATCCTCCGAGGCTGCCACCAGTACGAGCAGCTCTTCCTCATCGTCCTCGTCCTCCTCCTCAGTCATCCCTTCCACCACCACCGTTGCTCAGTCCACCACCAGCCAAGCCGCAGCTTCGACCTCGTCTCCCTCTTCTTCCTCCACTACCGACCACTCTACCGTCGTCCTTGTTACCACCGCCTCCCGATCCCACTCATCAACCGCATCTTCTACTGCCTCGTCTGCTGCGGATAGCTCAAGTACCTCGAGCAGTGGATTGAGCAAGGGCGCTCTGGTGGCCATCATCGTGGTGGCCAGTATCGTCGGTTTGGTGATCATTGGATGGACGGCGTTTAGGAAATGGAAGCTCAGGCCTTCCAACAGGTTTGGCAACAAGATGCAGCCCATCGACTTTAGCCCTCAGAATGACAACATGGACGATGACTTGTGAGTCTTGACGCTGATACCTGAGCGTGGACTGATTCCCGAGATAGCTTTGAAAAGACTCTCCACCGAACCGCCTCCCAATCGTCTACCAATCGACAGCGCCAAGAGCTTGTTGCCCAGCTCGACGATCCCAACCAGGTCCCTGGTGTGCCCGCCCACGACTTTACCGCCGGCTCCGCTGCTGTCGGCGCTGGTGTCGGCGCCTATGGCTACCATGATGACGGTTACGGCCACGCCGAGCAATACGAGTACGACCAGTATGCTGCTGCGTACCCCGAGCACGCCGGCCAAGGCTACCCGGAACACCAAGGACAAGGCTACCCCGAGCACGAGGGATACAGCGGCGAGGGCCAGGCTTACGGTGAAGCTTATGGTGGCGAGCAAGCTTACGGCGAGTACCCGCACCAAGAACACGCCTATCCTCCTCAACCTTCCCATGCTGCGCCCCACGGTTACGACTATCCTCCCACCTCTCCCATCGGCGGCCTTACGAGTCCTCTCCAGGTTCTCGGCACTGCCATCACCACGGGCAGCAATGAAGGCTACGCCGACTTGCAGCGCGGGCCTAGTATTGGCAGTGGTAGCGGCCATGGGCAGGCGGGGGTTGCGAGGGCTATGAGCCCGCAGGGTATGTATCTGCAGGAGCAGCCGATGAGTGCGGGAGAGATGCACTTCCCTAGTGAAATGCACTTCCCCAACCCTCATGATCAGCAGTATGGTGGTTTGGGTAGGCCGACGGCCGGGGCTGGTGCCGATGGACCGTAAGTTGCTCCATCACGAGACTGAGCATTGCTAACGTTGGATTTTAGTTATGCCCAAGCTTCCGCTTTCCGATACTGAGAAGTCTTGCGGGCCAAGCTTCTCTCTTCTTTCGACTTTTCCTCCCGGACGCTTGCGACCATCACACATTCTACCTCATTACTCTCTATGCACTCGCGCATACCTCGTCTACTGAGCAGGGCTTGGTATCTCAACAACAATTATCATATTTTGAAGGCCTCATAATTCCCCACATTTCTCGCCCCCTTGTTCATCAAGTCTTTTTTTGTCTCGACTACTTGTTTATCTCTAGCTTTTGAACTCTTTTTTCTTTACGCTTATTCACGACTATTCCGACAGCAATCATTCCAACCTCTTTGACTATATGTTTTCTATCTTTTTCAAAGTCGATTCCGTAAACACACGAACTGTGAATCTGTTTCATACCTGTGGCGTGTATAGTCTGAGAGGGGAAGTCTGGCGAACAAAAAGGGAGGAGAGAAAATGGAGGATGTCATGTCAAGACCTCTCTGGAATATGCATACCTCCTTGCGACTCATCGGGTGCATTCAAGCAAGAAACTCATTTTACACAGTTAAGCGCGCCCGGGGTTTTGAAGCCGCTGTGGGGATCAACCCCCCCCTTGCTTGTTCCCTCCGCTCCCATAGGCGCCACCAGTCATTGGTACATACGTGTAGGTCACACTCTCCCCTGACGGAAGCGTGGCGCTCCCCGAACGGCTCACGGAGGGATCACTCAACACGCGGTCGACAATCGGTTGTATATTCTGAGACGACTGTAGTAAGTATAGCGAGAGGGAAAAGGTGTCACAAGTCAGACTATGGAGCAAGACCCCGGGGATTGAAACTCACGGAAGAAGAAGCAGTGTCTGCGAACCAGTGTGCGTTCTCTTTGCGGTATGGCGAGGATGTTGAAGCTGAGGAGGCTGTGGACGACGACACGAGTCAGGGCGTCAGCTTTCTTGTCCTTAGCCTGGGCTTTCATGATGACAAAGCAACATTGAAGAAACGCATCAGATTGTGTGGTCTGCTGGGTGGAGTTGGTATTGGTAGCCATTGCGGTGTTGTTTTGCTTTCGGTGGCGGTGGGACTTGGATGGATTGTTGGTGTGTCGAGAGAGGATATATGTAAGGTTAGACTTGCATGCATGTTGACTTCTTCTCTTGCGTTTGTTTGCTTCTACAGTATGGATACCTATCTCGTCACAAAACACCACAAGCCCCCAAGTCGAGGCATCGTCACAGCAACAGATCGTCCACTGGGATGCAACACATCGTCGTCATCAGAAGGAATCTTTGTCATCATTCTCAGCCCATCCTATGCTTCTCATACACGAGACAGCCATGACATCGCAACGAGGCAGCCGAGTGGCAGGGCGATGTCTATACAGTATCAGTCTCCGATCGGCAAAGGATTCAACAACACAACACTGCACGTTGACGAGATCCAGTACATTCAGATTCCTTCCTCGATGTGTGATTTGAATTTCTACAATACAAATGGGGAATAGAGCAGACTAGAGGAAGGAGAAAGCATGAAAGCGAGAAAAGACCGGAAGACAAGGACATCAATGCTCAGAAAAGTTGGGGTCGGGGTTCGTTCTAATGAATGAGGTGTTATGATGTCTATGAAAGCAGGAAAGAGCCCTTGCCGTCTCGCATGGCTCGATCAAATTGAGTGGCCAAGACCTCCTTGGTGGAATAGTCGGGCATCTTGAGATACTACGCCACCGTAAGCATTGGAACGTACTCGTGACTGGATACGTACCAGAGCACAAGTCATGACACTGGGAAGATAATCGTCGGCCTTGTAGGGCGGCTCATGGGGTTTCCGAACGACAGTAAAGGGTGGAGTGAAGCCTCTGAATCCACCGATGGGAAGCTTTGGAGCACCAGTCATGCTACGCACGCCGGGTCAGTATCAGCACGAAGCGATCAGAAAGTACTCACAATTGCAAAAAGTGTCGACGTTGCTCCTTCGTGTAGGAAGTCATCACTTCAATCAAATTTTGCACTGCCCTGCTTTCCGAGTTGTATCCGTGGTCGGCCTTGATGGATTGCTCCAAAGCTAGAATGGGTCAGCATATGGTACATGTCTTGTGAACGCCGACTCACTTTCACGAGACCAATCTTCGTCGGCGTTACCAAAGACCAATTGGAGTTCCTCAAGAGAGAAGATTTTCAGACTCTTGATGGGGAAGATTCCAGAGAAGCCTGTGTATTTGTCAGCCACTGCGGGAGGCGTCAAAAAAGAGCAGACTGACCTTCTTGGAACGCTTTGACCTGCTGAGCCACACCCGAGCCCAAAGTCCAGTCCAAGACAAGTTCCAAATACTCATCCAAACTGCCGTCGTCGACCTCGATATGGGCGCCACCAGACTTTAGCTCAATGTTGTATCCAGGTAGAGTAAAGTCGAGAGCAAGATCACCAAGTTTGGCGCCACCGACAGTCAAAGATGCAATCTTTGCACGACGAGAGGAAGCGGGGAGTGGGAGAGCTTCGATTTCTCTTCGAGCTGAAGAGTATGCTTGAAGCCTCTCCAAGGATCGAGCCAGCTGAGGGTCAACAGCTTTGAGCGTGGTGATATTCTTCTTCACCGGTCGCCCCAGAAGGAGCTTGAAGAAGATCTTGCTCAACCCAATATCGATGATCCTACTGTCAAGCATAGATCGCCCAATGAAAAGACCGAGTGTCTTGAACCACCTGAGTTTGGGCGCGACAGCATCGCCAAAGCCAGCAAGAGGCGAGGGGAACAGGCCGTGAGGGTGATGGACGTAGGTACCAGGTAGGCTAGAATCCTCGTCTCTCCAGATATTCAGATTTCGCCTAGCGAATTCGGTGGAAGCAAGTGCGTAGAATTCCAGTGTTGGGCCAAGCCCGGTACCAATCTCGTCAAAGTATTCAACTTCAAGAGTACCAGGGAAGGTGGCGTACATCTCCATGACCTTGGCACATGACTCGAGAAGCTGAGTTCGAGAGATTCGCACCTTTCGGCGAAGCAAGTTGGCGATATTAGGAAGGTCATCTCGATGACGGCCGCCACCCGCCTGTTGGGCCTTGAGAAGGAGTCGGGAGAAGCCGAAAGCGGTGAGCTGGAGGAAGTTGTAACGAGCATCGAAGGGGAAAAGGAAGGAGAAATGCTTGGGCAGACTCGTGGCCCATTCGGGAAGACAATTGCTGGCAATGATGAGAATCTCTTCCAGCTGTCGGGTCAACTTGGCAGTCAATTTGTTGTTGACAAAGAGGTTTTCAACAAGAATACCATCGACATCACCGAGGTTCTCTCGCCCCTCCACCGAAAGGTCATGGACGACCCTTAAGAGATGGAGGATCTTCCACGTAGGGGTAGTAGGCTCGGCAGGCTCCTCGGGAAGGGCGCTCATAACAGACGCAGGAGATGAGGCCACATTACTAGGGTCCTTGGTCTCTTTGACAGGCGCCGGTCCTTCGACCTTTCTGAATTTAATAGTAGGGGCAGTGTTAAAGTCCGCTGTAGAAGTGGAACCGGTCAAGTGTTTCTCTCGGAATACCGCGCCATAGACGATGTCTTCCATGTCGAGTTTCTTGCCATCGAGGCTGAATTCGAGATGCCAATCGGTAGGTTCGGTTTTAAGAGCGCCCGCGTAGGATCCAGAGGCGGCGCGAGAGGGGGTCACGCGACTTGTGGTGGAGGTGGATGGACCGGGGCCAGCAGAGGCAGAGGCGGGGACACTTTGCTGCGGGGTGGCAATACGGGTGCCTTGAGGAGTCTTGGCCTCAACACGTGAACCATCTGCTTATCGTCAGCTCATTCAAAGGTTCAATTGGAGTGGGTCGTACCAGGAGTGACATTCATATTGACAACACTTTCGTTGGGACCCGCAGCAGCGAGATCTTCCTCCATCACCTGGTCGATCACCTGACAGCTGATTAGCAGGAGTAGGAAGCGAACTAGATCCTTTGCGCTTACCGGTGCCTCAAACTCTTCTTCAGAATAGTCATCCTCATCGTCATCACCAAAGTCCATGCCGATGGGAAGTGACGGCAACCCTGCTCTCTCACCCTCAACAGGCGCCGGCACGGCAGTAGCTGCAGTTGAAGTGTGTTCAGCCTCTTCAGCGCCAACACTATCCTCGGCAGCAGGGGCAGAACCCCCAGCGTCAGATTCCTCTGTAGTGGAAGAAGGATTCAGTCGAGCGCTGCGTCTTCTCTCGGGAAGCTTCAAGCCAGAGCCGGTTGCTTGATTGGGGGAGCCGGAGGGGGGTTGCTCGAGAGATCGTGGACCACCTGCAGCGGCACTGCCAGCCCTGCTAGCTCCCATAAGAGCGTCAAGAAGTCTTGAAGCACTAGTATTTCCGCCCCCACCGCGGTTGGCAGCATAGGCCGCAAACATCTGGGAAAGTCCACCGCCACCGAAATTTCCGTCCGCAATCCTTGGTCGCAGGTAGTCGTGGACAGCCTTGACTGAGGCTATAGCTTGTATGGTGATAACGAGCTGACTGACATTCTTGGGGATGTCGTCACCTTCGGCACAGAGCCTCACGCGCAAGGTGCGGTGTACACCAGAGCTAGATGGTCGCATGGGATCGGCACCGCCGCCGAAGGCAGTCTCAACCTCGAAATTCTCCAGCCTACCGAGCGACTCGTGGAGTCGCTTGACAAGGATGGTGAGGGGATTAGGTGAAGAAACACTGGTGTTGGAGAATATCTCGAAAAACATTGCTCTTCTATCGGCAGATGACACTTCACCAGTAATCTCCACAAATTCCAAAATACCATCCACAAGTCCGCTTTGAAGAAGCTCAAAGCTGGATAAGCCTTGGTCGATGCGAGAGAACTGTGAAGCAATAGACCTCAGAGTTTCTCTCAGCTCGGGTTCGGTGGTTTCGGGTAGGCAGAGCTTCTTCACCATGCCGTTGATGTCACTCAACACCTTGGAAGCGGCGAGCTGGTTTTCTCCGCCCGCGTCAAACACCTTTCTCGCGATGAGCATACGAGCTCGAACGATATTAGAGTCTCGGGGGTCCAAAGCTGCGGAATGCTTCTTTGATGCGGGTGTGGAGGGGTTGGATGCCAGAAGCAGTGGATTGGGCTGAACAGCGTCGGCGGCTTGCGGGGTTTGAGGCAAAGAACCCAGCGCATCTTGCGGTTGGTGCACTTCAGCAGCAGCCTTTGGCGTCGATGTACCCTCCTCTGGGTTGACTGTCTCTTTCTCCGCAGCTAGCTTCGCTGCTTTTTCTTTGCTCATCTCCTCTTGAGCTAGCCGATCAATCTCGAACACCACACCTTCTCTCAAGAACGAGACCTGATAGACATCAGGAAGCTTGATAACAAGCAGCTCCACGATTTGGAGGGCGTGAAGCACAAATGCGTCGTTGTCTTTGGACGAGATGATGGCACAGAGGAAGCTTGCCATGGGCACACATCGAAGTGTTGCTCGGAGTTGGTCCTTGGGAGCGAACGAGATAGCTTTGAGTAGTCCAACCAGAACCTTGGTCCTCACCCTCAATACCACCGAGGCAGCATAGACATCCACAAGAACAGGCACCACCGTCTTGATAAAGCTGCTGATCAAATCGGTATTGCTTTTGCACAGTTCGTATCGGAGCTGCATCTGCGCTTCGAGCTCCTTCTTTGCCTTGTGAACGGCAGCCTCCCGACTGGCGGACAGGTTGGCAAGGACGTCCCCAGTGTTTCCGATCGGAGTGGCAGAAGTAGGTTCGCCTGGTGCGGCAGGGGTGCTGGGACCGGCAGAGTTGGATGCCGAGTTGGAACCAGACACGGCTTCCGCCACTCTGGTGCTCCTTCGAACCCTATCGGCGCTGCTCTCAATCTTTCTACCCTTCTTGACCTTGTACAGGTTCTTCTCACTGTACATTCTCGGATCAAAGACGCCATCTCTGGGTACAGGAGGCAAAAGCTCGCAAATGAGTGCCAAAGCTTCCTCAACCTGCTCCTTGGGCCTGTGCGCAAGGTTTTGCAAGATGGCCATGTCGGCTACACCGCCAGCAAGGCCTTGACCACCAGAGGATCCGCCTTGCTCGTCTTCGTCGTGGGATGGAGGCAAGACTCCGGTGAGGATTTGATAGATGGTGCTGGTCATCCCAGCTTCCAGCAATCCGATTGCGACCCTGGCAGATCCCCGAGCAGAGGTAGTGAGCGACTTGAGTAGATGAGTGTAGGTGGGAGGCGTAATGAGGGGAGAACCGGCGGATGGCATAAGAAGGATGTTGACAGCAGCCATGGTGTCATGGTCTAAAAGACCTTCCAGATGCCCAGAATTGTGTCGGTAAGACTCAATCGTACGGAGGATGGCTAAAGTGGCCTGCTCCACCAAACGCGGTTCGCCCGAGCTCAGGGTGTCTCGAAGAGTGGGGAAGACCGCTTTGATCTTGTCATAATGTTCTGGGGAGATGTTACGACAGCAGTTGGCGGCGGCGGTAACGGCAGTCCGCTGAACGTTGGTGGAAAAGAAGGGGAGGAAATTGAGGAGGGCACCGAGGCCATTTTGGCGGACGATGGCGGAGGGGTACTCGGCGGAGATCTTTTCGAGGGTCTACATGGCATTAGCAAGCTGTTGTCACATTCATGAAGCAGACTCACACTAAGTGTTTGCTCAGCCAGCTCAATGTAAGATATCTCTTGCAACTTGGAGCAGAGCACGGGTACGGCACCATGATGTACCAGTGTATGCCCGCACCCATGTAAAGCCTCCATCATATGCGCCAAGCATCTGCAAGCAACAAGCTGACACTCTAGCTCATCCTCTTCACCGCCAAGACCAGCCTCAGGGGCCTCGCCACCCGAGCTGAGAGCAAGAGCGGCAGCAAGCTGAGCGTCCTCGTCCATCTCGTCGTAGTTTGACTCTTCCTCATCGCTCTCGCCTTCTTCGACATTCGGTTCGCCCTTGAGAATAGCGATGAATTCGGCCGCAAAGCCCCCTGGAGAGAAGACGCCGCCAAGGGTGTCTTCGTTGCTGACCAAAAGGAGTTCGCTGCACTCTCGGAGCGAAGCAAGGCGAGTTGCAATCTTCTTTGAGCGAAGTTTCTTCTTCAGTCGTTGGAGTCGCTTGGACAGACCACCGCCGATGGCACCTCCGCCAAAGACTCGGAAGCCGGGACCGAACAGGGCTGCTGTCGCTTCGTCAAAGTTGATCCCCCCTAGAACGTATTAGCACACATCACGACGACAAGATATACGGGACAGCGCACCTCCCTCGTTCTCCTCATCGTCGTCTTCATCATCATCTTCGTCATCATCGTGGTCATAGTCATCCCTCATCATCTCCTCATCGTCCATGGTCGCGTCTCCCTCTTCAGGGTCCTCGTCCACCCACATGGAGTCGTCTTCGTCGTAGTCGACACCAATCAAGTGTCGGGCGGCTTCAGTGTTGTCAGTCACAGTGACGGGCAAAAAAAGAGGAAGTCCTTACAAGTGTCACCCTTCTTGGATCTGTCATTCGATGCACCGGCCTTTTTGGGGCTGCAAATCATTAGCCAGAGCATCGAAAGCAACTTTTCTGACTCACTTTGTCTTTGGAGCCATCTTCTTGCCCTTTCCTGTACCTTTTGCAGTAGAAGACTCGGCTGATTGTGCCTCGGACTTTGTCCTTAGATCGTATCGCTTGGAGGAGGAAGAGCCGACGGAAGACACCGAGTTGCGCTTGGATTTCTTTGCGGCAGGTGGCGGGATGTCTGTCGAAAGCGAGGCGGTTGAGCTAGTAGCACGTTTTTTTCCTTTGGGGTCTAGATTCTGGCTGGCGCCGGAAGCGGTAGATGAGTGAGAGGCAGTAGCGGGAGGATCTCGGCTAGAGTGGCGGATGAGAAAGACAATGTCAGCCTGAGCCCCTTCGAAGGAGTAGCGTGTAGCGCAGAGTCGTAGGCAGCGCGACGTTGAACATGGAGGTGGGCCATGTGAGCCGGAGATAGATTGATTGGCGGTGTCCCTTTCACTGCCCGGTCCTTCACAGGGCCGTCGCCGCTCATCTGTGGTACAGTCGGACTGCCACACATGCACAGCAGATGTGTTATGGGAGGAAAGCAAGCCATAAGAGCCCGAGTACAGAAGCAAGACTCACCTTTTGGAGCCCGAGGACGATTGGTCAATGGTAACCTTCTTCTTGCCCTTGGCACCGGGAGGGGCTGACTGGGCGGATTGAAGATCGGCAGCGGTAGTGCTGATAGAGAGCCGAGAGGAACGGCGGATGTTGCTGGTATGTTCGAAGTGCTGTTGAGAAGACTGGGTGCTCGAAGATTGTTCTTCAATCCCGTCCATTGGGCTGCGGGTAGGAAGGGTAATCCGAGAGGTCGAAGATTAGTATGCGGCTCGGGTCATGAAGCCGGGGCGAGTACGGGTGGCTGGATGGGCGGTGTCCGTGCTGCGGGGGGCGGCCGGGCGGGAGATTGTAGAGAAGAGAAAGTGAAGATGAGATGGAATTGTTGCCTGATTACTCCATCCCTCGCACATCCGGCTCACCGCTCAGACCCCTTCCCACAGAGTGGAGGGTGGACTACGCCGACACAGGGCGGCCGTGGGAATCTATGCGCAACGGGTTGGGTGATGTGCAGACCGTTGTGTGGCTGTCGTATGCAGTCGATCTATTGCCCATACGAGGTTCCCAGGCGGCATAGCATCGTAAGTTTGTGGGCGCTCCATACTGGACTGTGCATCAATGGTCCAAAAACCTGTCTGCTCAAATCCGAGATTGGACTGATGGACGAGAACATCCCCAAGATTTCTGGTCTTTGCATCAACAGCCTCAAAGTTGAACTCTCATAGACGTCTGTCGTCAACAGCATAGTGGAAAATAGACTCAAGTGATACGAGGTTACTTCAACGAGTCCTGCCGGCCGCCAGACGGACAAGAGGGCTACAAGAGGCACTACGGTAACGTTGCGGGTTATTGCTGAGCGTATTCGTATGGCGAAGGGATCTCAATAGGCGACAGGAAGATTGAATTACAATTCAGTCAGTTGTAACAGATCGACTGGCGGTCGACGGCTCTATTATAGCATGGCGCCTACGCCCACGGGCATCATCTCCGTGAATGCTATCGACAGAAGGCCGTCATACGTGCAATTGACAATGCATGTCGAACCAGACCACTAGCCAATAATGAAGTACACAAGAAGTAGATATCTAGTACGCAGCAGCCGCCACCAGCTTTGTCAACTCTGCATCCCGACATTAGCTCCATTCCAACGATATACAGTATCCCAGACTTACGGTTGAGCTGCACGTTCTCCTTCACGACACCCGCCTTCACATCATTCTGTCCGTTCGCGGGCACAACAGCATCCGCGCCCTCCACCTGCCACTCTACCTTCTTGCACCACTCTACAACTTGGTCCTGGGGGAGATCGAGCCAGCGGCCGAGTTGGGAGAGAGAGATGCGGCGGAAGCAAGAGGCAATTGAGGTGGAGAAAATGAAACGGAAGGAGTCGAGGGGAGCATAGTGTTGGGGGAGGTATCGCGTTCGGAGGGCTGGCAGGGCGTTAGAAAGCTGAGTGAGGGACGGGAGAATGAAGCTTACCGTTGGCGGCCTCAGAGTTGGAGTTAATCTCTGCCCAGAACTTTGTGAACTGGCATGACCGGCTGAGTTCGTGGAGGTTTTGCAAGTAAGGGAAGACGACGACAAGCGCCTCATCCTCAGACTCAATGTCCTGCAGGATCGCCTACGCCTCGGATCAGCTCCCATCCATTCCACCTGATTTCCTCTTGCTCCCGACCAGACATACAGAAGGCTCCCTCAACATCTCCAAGCACAAGTTGAAATCCGGTCCAGCAACTGTGGCAGAAAGCGCCTTGATCAGGATGTTGATGATGACATCAGGGTTGCTGTGTTGGGGGTTGAACTGGTACAATTTGAGGATGGCCAAGTAGGCGAGGAGGTCGTATTGGCCCTCCTTGACCTGGGTGGCGAGGTATTCCTCCATGAAGGGAAGGTTGGAGGGGTTGTAACGGTCTGTAGAAGGTTGTGACATCAGTATGCGACTCGTCTACAAGGCATAGACGGGAAAGCGACTCACCAACGCCGTGGATGAGCTCGTGGATGACCTCGGGCCTGGCCGAGGGGCTGTGCCATTGCCTGAAATTCTTGGGGATTGTTGCGGTAACCATTTTGAGATGCCTGAGAAAAAGAGGTGGAGAGACCGCGGAGATAGGTGTTTTTCAGTGACCGCAGAGCGCTGGAGGAGCGAGGACAAGAGAATTGAGGAAATACGACCACGTGGCGGTTATCACCGCGGACACAAGTCCACGTAAGGCGGATTCACTCTCCTCCTCTTGCAAGGCGACCACTTCCAAGTCCACTCCTATGCATGTGTAACATTGCTAAGCAGACTATTCATTTACCACATACCTCCAATAATAACATCTTCAATCCAAAGTTTTCCAAACCCCGTTGAAAGATGTCTACAACATTAGGCCGCGCTCTTGTCGGTATCGCCTGTTTGGCTCTCTTCCATGGTGAGCTCGGCAAGGTATAGTATCCTTCGTATAAACGCTGACATGTCAATTTCAGCTGCCTACTCGACATATGAACGTACGCCATGATACATGCCATCATAGGTTGTTGTTATACTGACTGTCGTCAGAACTCTCCACGTTGAAGGCTCTGTCACGGCCCACATCTGACTTGCCAACCTCTGTGAGTCTGGGCCGGACTGAGGAAGATGGGGATACACTGACCCACGTTCATAGATCATCACGGAGGCTTTCTTGTCTTTGATAACGTTCATTATCGGGATCGTGCTGTCGACAGGAGAGCTGAAAGACGTGACGTATCGCGGTGAATTATCACATCGGTATGTCATTCCTTCCTGCAACAGGTAATGTGTATGCACAGGGGTTCAGTGCGCATGGCGGACGCTCTGTCAAGCTATCTCGAGATTGTTGCGAGTTTGAAGCTGATTGGCATCACAGGACAATCGATGACGCCGACGCTCGGATGGGGTTCATGAAACTTTCCTCGAGAGGGAAAGCTATATTCGGTGATAGCTTGTAGAGGCCGGGTTATATAGTTTTTGTATGATACGCATGGGTGTACGAAACGAGATGCATGGTACCGCGCGCTCTACGTCCAGAGCGACACCCTCAGACAACACACTACCAACTAGCGTTCTCTCAGAGCCCACTTCAACCCTCCCCACTGTCTTCCCCTCTTCTCAATATCCCAGTTGCTCCCCTTCTTTCCTCCTAGCCTTTCCCGCTGGCTGACACCTGACCACCTGCCACGGCCGTCCACCCAATCTTGCACTCTCAAGTTTGGAGGCAACGCTTCAGGAATTTGGGATTGGATGGCGAGGAGTTTGTCTGTTGGGGAGGGGAGTTGGCGAAGGGCGTTGACGAGAGGGGTTGTAGGGAGGGCACGGACCGCGGGGCGGAGGTGTGTGGGGAGGAGGGAGGCAGGGATATAGCGGGGCATTTTGATGTTGAGATTCACTGAGTTGCAACTAACATGGGTCAGCAAGCAGTCAGGATGGATTCCCACATGAAACTTGACTTACGATAAAGGCTCGGGCGATGTGTACGGAATCAGATCGCTTAAAAGCAGCCTTCAAGAGATGTCCGATGTGATTCTGGCCTGACGCGAGGGTAGAAACGTCGTGAGGGACAGATTATTTGTGATTCGTGTGTGCGACTGTAGGGGATTACAGGGAGTTGTGGGCTGTAGTGTGCCGGATTTGTGCGTGTGAGTCTGTTGCGGGTTTGTGACTGCTTGCAAGAGCAAAAAAGACCGCGAGAACCTGGCGACAACAGAAGAGTAGATGTCGGCGAAGTCCGCCCAGGAAGTTTGATCCCGTCGCAGCCGCCGGCCATGATGATCATGAATGCCAAAGAGCAGTGCCAAAGAGTGAAGAGCCCTAAGCGCATCTTCCTGGACCTCATCACTTCCCTTCCCGACAAACAAGCTCTCGGATCCAGCCATGTCCAAGCCCCAACCGCAACCCCTCATCCAGCTTCCTGCGCTATTCTCTACCGTCGAACCAGGCGTCTTTCGCTCCGCCTCTCCGAATCCTGCGCAAGTTCCATTTCTCGCCAGCTTGGGACTCAAGACGGTAGTCAGCTTGACGGCCGAGCACCCTATAAAGCCTTTGCTGCAGTTCGTGAGGGATAATGGGGTAGATTTTGTGAGTGTACACGAGTACCGTTTGTCAAAACATTCTGACCCGAGCTTTTGAACAGGTTCATCTCGGATTGACTCAATGGCGAAGACCGGGGACAGATTGGAAGCCTGTCAGATACGAAATCATAAAGACTGCTCTCGAATCTTATGTCTTGGATGTTCGTGCACACCCTGTGCTCATCATTGACCCGTGAGCAATGTCCTGATATTGACGACAACATGAAGCAGCTAACCGCAGAACAGTCTGGGCGTGCATCAGACCGGGTGTCTCGTGGGCAGTCTGAGGATGATGCAAGGCTGGAATTTTTCAAGCGCTCTTGTCGAAGTTGGTCTCACTCATATCTACATGAAAACCGAGGCTTACAAATAGTAGTATCGAGCCCATGCTGGCAGCAAACACCGATACGTGGACGAACAGTATATCGAAGCAAGTGATCACCCGTCTATCTTCACTTTCGAACAAACCTAACCGTTCTATACAGCTGTTTGATCCAGACCTCATAAATCTCCCCCAGCCGCAATATCGTCCTTCTTGGTGGTCATCTCCATATGACCAGCATCCTGAGACTGTCAACCTTTCGGCGTCAAAGCCCGAGTTGTACCAGAAGCCGGAGGGGCAGAAACAAATAGAGGAGCAAGAGGGGAGCTCCGAGGAGGTGGCAGAGACAACTCCGCAGGTCACAGTCAACGGATGATCTGAAACAGACGGCATGCTAGCGAGGGGCACGACGGGTACAGAGAACGACTGTCAACAACCTCTGCCACAAAGGCAGCCTCCCCTCTTCTGATCCTTCGCCTCTCCTTACCCTTCACAATCGCGATACATCACCGCTCTATCGTAGAGTCTAATAGCAGGCGTCAGGTATATAATGGAGAGCGAAGGCGAGCAGGCAGCGAGCAGGTGGCATGTGCGGCAGTGTTGCTCCAGATGATGTCTACGAGATATCAAGCTGAAGAAGGGGGTGCTTTGGCCGATGACATACGCTCTTTTTGCTACATTCGGGAACATGCATGATCGCCCTTACCAGACGATCTTTCAGAACCGTTTTGAGATCTTTTGGACCTGTTTAGAATACGGAAGGCTGAGGCCTGAGGATCGTCCATTTTTGATACCGCTACGCGTCGACGCGTTTGTGGAGGACTGCTATGGCATTGCCGAGTGTCTTTGTCAAGGACAGCGAGACAGCTGTATTTCTATCGGCGTATATCAGAGTCATTAGCCTGCCACAGTACTACCTCCCCCGACTTGACTATATTCGAACCTACCATTGACGTATACTCGCTGCTCAGCAATATGGCAACCCTCAGGATCCGTACCTCCAACACTGTACGACATTCATGGTCACACCTCTTCCCAATGGTGACTGCTAATGCTCCTGCAGACGCCGCCCAATGTGCTTGCCCCCAATCTTCCTCTATCCTCTAGTCTCTTCAACGGACAGCCCTACAAGATTGTTCTACTGCCTGCCTCAGCCTTGACCACAGGAACACGGGCAGTGCTTTTCAGGATTCTTGATCAAAACATGAAGACTATGTGAGCTCATAATTTTCTTCCTCTGAGATCAGCCCGAGCTCATCGCTCATGACATAGCCAAGATAACTCTTCATTCCCATATACGGAGGAGTCGAAGCAAGAAGAAATGTTCGACCCCACCTCACGATTCCTTCTTGCCCTCGAGTCATCGGCCTCTGTCCCTGCATTAGAGGGCAAACGACCGGAAGAGATGTCTTCAGTGGCGGAGCTCACGGAGGAGGATGTTCTCGGCTTTGTGGAGTGGCGCTTCGATACAGAGGAGACTTTGCGAGGGAGTGACGTCGAGGTTGCCTATCTGTAAGTCGTGTGGTCTTTGTACATCTGCTGCGGAGCTGATGAAAGCAGGTATGAAATACAGTTGACATCCTCATCCAAAGGACTCGGTATTGGTAGACACTTGATGGAGATCTTGGAGGAGATCGGGGACCGACGGCAGATGCAGAAGGTCATGTTGACGTGCTTGAAGAGTGTGTTGGCTTTCATGTTGCACCTGGTTATTCCAACATCAATCGCGAAATGAGCTGACGCATGATACCCATAGCCAATCCCAAGGCTTTGCAATTCTACGCGAAGCTGGGCTACGAAGCAGACGAGATCGATCCTACACGAATGGCGGAAGAGGACTCTGAGAGCGACGGAGACAGTAATGACAGCGATGATGAGGATGAAGAGGTCGTTGACTATGTCATTCTGAGCAAAGCCTTAAGTAGGCTCAAGCGGTAATGCAGTCAGCGGTCACATGTACAACATGCATTATGATCATATAGCCGTAGTGGGTACCGAGCATATGTCGGACAAACATATGCAATTATGCGTCAAGGTCTGGAAGGTCGTTCAATATCTACAGGCAGTCCGAATCAGTTACCGAGCAGTAAATGAGTTTCTTTGGTGTGACGTACATCATCTAGGTCGTTTCGTGAAACCTCGTTCTCGTTTCGTTCTTGAAAGGTCCAGTCAACTTTTCTCCTCTTCTTGTCCCTGCTCCCCTTCTCCCTGCTTGTTCTCGCCTTCTTCGGAGACGTGGGCCGCTTGAGCCAATCGGCACCCATCATCCCATCTTCGCTATCAACACCTCGACTCCCCTTTGCAGCTAGCTTCAGCCCAGCAGGTGTAGTCGCCATAGTGGAGAAGAAAGCGTCTGTCGACTCGCCCTTCCTCTTTCCAGACCGAGTGTAGGACGCAGGAGGGTGCTCCAGGTCGATGCCCGGATTGCTGTATTTCACTTTCTTTGTCGGGGTCCTTTCTACATCTGCTCCTGCACCGCTCTTGGACGGGCTGCCCTCCATCTGCTGGGCGGACGGTATACGCACATGACTCTGCCTCAGGGGACTGGCCTTGTCGGGTGTGTTCAGGAATTGTGAAGGTGTAAGAAGTGATTGGGAACGCCTAGAGTCGTAGAGCTGCTTTGTCTTTCTCGGAGTGATGGCAGCTATGACTTGTTCGCCAGTCAATACATTGGAAGGGGAAGGTGACGGCGCAGGGGAAGTGGAGTTGGTGACAGAGCGTCTTTTGGAAGAGGAGCGAGAAGGAGAAACCTCGGCATTTTCTTGGAGGAGTTGGCTGGCCTTAGATAGGGCGGAGCGAAAGTACTGCTTGGTTGTGTGCGACAGTTTCTGAGCAGAGTTCTCATCGAGGTCCTTGCTTTGGACTCTACGGTGGACGTCAGGATGCACCGCATGCGAAAAGAACACGCAGCGTACACTTCACAAGCTAGTAGAGCTGATATTGCCGGAAGTGCAGTGACCTCTTCGGGTCTAAGGCTGTTACCTGACCCACGGCCGGTCAAGCGTTTGAGCTTTTCGAGAGTTCGAGCAGCAACCGGGATAGCGTCGTGAGTCTCAGATGGGAAAAAGTGGGTGACTTCCAAGATGTCTCGTCTAGACATTATGCCTGTGTAGCGTGTGTTGCTGTGGCGATGTGCTTGAACTCTGCTGAGATGGGAGAAAGAATGCGACCTGACACCAAACGACAGACAAATATAGCACGCTGATGAACGCGTCGACGCGTCCGCATGCCTAGATATGTGCTGACGTAATGATCATATCGCCGAGGTTAGGCGTGCGCCGACATCCTGCTCTGACAAAAGTTGGCCAGTGATTCGTCCATGTGCATCGAACGTTGCGCGTGTCCTGCGCATCCCCATCAGATATCCCACTGTCAGCCTAGGTGTTCAACTTGATCTCGAACAGAACTGGTGCTGTTCATACATGGCGTGGGTTCACTTGGCTCTGTTCTGGATATTGCTGACCTCTCCTCGTCTCCAGGTTGGTGCGATAGCGTTTCTGCGTCATGCCCAAGAGCCTGGCGGCATTTGCAGCTGCTTTGCGTAGTAATCAAAAACGGCCGACGCTCCCGTCATTACCTGATAATTGGGTGCAACAATCAGTAGCTGTGATCGTGCCTACAGAGCCAGGCTGCTCGAGGTGGCTTTCGTGTTCATGTTGCCGGAGACAAGTTGTGCAACCCGAAGTGGAATCAAGATACCCAAGAGTGTCCGACCCGGAAGTCACCTGTGAGTCCTATACCAACAGTGGAATCAGAGATGTGACTGGATCCTGGATTACACTGACTTCACAACGACAGTTGCTCGCTCGAGCTCAAATCGTGTCGCTCAGCCGAGATCGTTGAGATCACAAACATCGACGTCTGCGCCCCTTCGAAAGCGTACCCCGTTTCCCTCTGTCACCCCTCCCTCTGGAAGCAAAGAATTCTCCTCCTCGAGTCATCACCCAACCCCATTCCGGCGGACATTCTTCACGTCCAATCCTCTACACGGGTCAGAGTATGCCCCCATCCCCCCATCAGGGGTTCCCAGGCTTTCGCCCGAAGAAGAACGGCGCCCCATACTATATCCAGATCCCAATCCCAGAAGCACCCCCCATCTACCTTTGCCCCCAACTCTACCTTACTCGCCAGACTCGCACCCTTTCAAGAGGCATTTGTCAATTTTGTCGCTATCAATCGTAGCATCGCATAGCGACGAATCGTGGGCAGTTTACTGCGCCATTCACGATGATCTTCGGAAGTACATTCCCGACAGCACGTTCCGAGCATTGCTGCTTAAACAATGCCAAGTGAAAGAGAATTCTTTGGCAGAGCAGTGGGCAAGGGTCAAAGAACTGCTCAAGCTCGGAAAGGAGTGCGATATGACTTTGGAAGATATGGGATCCGAGGTCCTGGAAAAAGCGCTAGAAATGGGTGTTGACGCTGCTTTGGCAGGCGAGACGAGAAAGGAAAGGAAGCGTCTACGTCAGATATGGTTTGCCCTCACCAATTCTCTCCCCAACCTCAGCATTGTGCCCCTCGCCACCCGAAAGAGATGGTTGCAGCTTCAGGAGCGCCTCCTTATCGATCGTTCCGAATGTACTTCAAAACCATCACTTCTCAATCAATCCACTTTGATGGAGGAAAGTGCCTTGAATATGGTTGAGCGAGGCGGGGCGGGGGGAGTAGAGACATGGGTGGCAAGAGTCTTGATCAGATCTCGGGGAAATGCAGGGGACGGCCCCAGGCAGATAGTGCGCAACCTCCTCTGGTGCGGTGTCAAGAAGGCTACGCTCCCGAGAACGTATCTTTACGATGCCGTGTGGGGAATGGTGCGTCGATGGGACGCAAAAGAGGACCGAGTCGCGCTTCTCCAGGAAGAATTGAAAGCAATCTTGGAAGAAGTCGAAGCTACCGCTGGCTCTATGGCAGAAGTCGAAGCGCTGAAGGTCATGACTCGCGTCATAGACCAGCTCAGGCGGCATCACGAACAGGTATCCATGACTCTGGCCGCTCTGGATGAAGGCAAAATCGACTACCCTGCCCAAATCTACAAGGGCGTCGAGTTTGCCTGGAAGGCGAAAGACAGTGAAGAGAAAGAAGCCATCATACATCTTGAAGGCGCGTTCCGCCTTTTCCAGGCTTGTCTAGTCCATCGGGATGCCGATCCTACTCCATTGGTCGCCTCACTCTCTCACTCGCTCCTCCAGCTTCGTCCACGGTATCCCAAACCGATCGATCAGATTATTGTTCCCTTCGCCCAGGCCGTCTACCAAGCTCGGCTGTTCTCTACCCTCCCACCCAAAATCATCACAGCCCTCCATCGGCTCAACCTCTTCGCTTTGCCCTCTGAAGACGCGTATATCCTCTCCCGAAAGACCTATGACCAGGCCCGTGCTGCTGAACCGCCTTTTGCGTGGTCTCTGAAGAACCTCCACTCCTGGCAGGAGTTGTTTGCATGTGCACTCACGCGTGAGAAGCCACACGTTCACTTTGCCTCCCGGCTTTACACGGACTTGATTGCGGATGGTCTACACGTCCCTCGCGAACAGGCGCTCCTCATGCTACGTTGCGTTGGTGCCAAACCCTCTCCCTCGCGCCCCATACTCCTCGAAAGACACATCAAAGACTACATTTGGTTCGGGTATCGCGACAAGACGGCCTTCATCCACGCTGTCGTTAAGGGCCTCACGGGAAAGGGAGTGAAGGATGCGGAGCTAGCGTTGACTTTGGCAGAGAGGCTGAGCGCGGGGATGGGCGAGGGGGCGGAACTGGAGCCGATTGTGTTGGAGTTGATCATCGTCAATTTGGCCCGCTCTTCCAACCCTCGTGTCCGTCAGAAGTGCATCAATCTTCTACATCGACTACCCCCCGGTACTGCCACCAGATCATACAACACCGTTCTTTCCTTTCTTGCCTCCCAATCGCGCGCGAACCCGTCTGTGAACGCCGAGGATGAACTATCCCCTAGACAAGTCCTCACCTTGGTCATTACGATCTACAAGGATATGGTGGATCGAGGCGTGGCCAGAGATGGGAGGACAACAAGCACGTTGCTTAGGACCTTGACAGACAATGGTCTTCTTGATGAGGGGATTAAAGTGCTCGAAAGCTCACTTCAGCATGATATACTACCCAAAAGTCATGCCATCGGTCGTCTGATGGTCCGTCTTGCCCTCTCGGGGCGCCTTACTGAAGCTCTTTCGGTTGAGAAGTCTTGGAGACAAGCCATCAAGGGCATCGTTGGCGGAGTCCTGAAGGAGAATAAAGTCTGGGATCTGGCTGTGGTCGGAGCAAGAGCGTTGGTGGATGTCAAGATGGGTGAAGAGGTAGATTTTGCAGAGTTGGAGAGGCAGACAGGATGGGTGGCGAGTAAGGAGTATATGGTGTTTTTGCGGGACCAGAAGCCTCGTCTGGGGAGTGCGACGAAGGAGGGGGAGGCAGGCGAGGAAAGGTTAGTGCAGGGCGCGCAGGCTGAGGATAGGCTGCATGGTATCGAGTCGCAGGAAGGTAGGCATCTAGGATGGCTGTAACAGGGTCTAAAAATCATTTCGCATTTGTAATCTAAACCAGCATATTTTTCATGAAATGGACATCTTCCCATGCTCTTGAGTTGACGTTTGAGAGTGCATAGCCAAGTTCCATCACCGTGCAAATGATGACCACCATCATGCGTACACGTAGGTGGATGCTGCTTGACAATCAATCAACTATGTCGACTCGATGTGAAAGGCTTGAGTGAAATCCGTGGGTATCCGGGGTCTGCAGTCTCTTATTGCCTCCACATGCGCTTATATGTGCAACGGCTTCCAGCTCTCCCTTATATATTTGCCGGTGGGAGCGCTGGACGACGAAAGGACGGCAATAAAGACTAGCGCCATCACGGTAATTTGTCACCGCTCCTGTCACCGTACCGGAATCACTTTCACCCCTCTCTCCCATTACGTACATCAATGTCACTTTGTGTCTCTCGCATTTCTCATCTGCATCTACCACTCCCCCCACACTAGCATGGCCACCCACAACACGTCCAGAAACAGAGCCCGCCCCTGGGGTGAACAGGTGAGCAGCAGTCCGCACTCGCACATTTGATGCGCTGGCTCCACTGCGTCCGGCAACGCTATGCTCAACAACCCTGTAGTGGAGACATTCGGCATGGTTTATCATTCTTGTAGTCACATAGGTAATGCAGCAGACATTCTCACCTGCGTGAGTGCGAGATTATCGCATAGCAGAGCCGATGCTGACCGCGGTGCGTCATACAACAACAATAGGCCATCATCGTCCCCATCCTTCCTTACCGCCTCCAAGATCTGGGCTACTCCGACATCTCTACCCTGACCTCCTGGATTCTTTTAGCATACTCGGGCGGTATCGTCTCCTGCACGCTGCCTGTATCGTACATCTTCCACAGGCATCCCTACCGCCGCTGGCCCTTGGTGGGTGCGGTGATTGGTATGCTTTTGGCGATGGTTCTGTTCATGCTGGGAAAGCTGTATCTGATGAGATATGGTTCTGAGCATATTTATTCAAGGAGCTTGCAGTACAGTGGTGTGGACGGTGGGCTTTTGCCTCATGTGAGTAGCATACAAGACTTCTGACAGCTGCTGCTGACGTCACTTCAGCTGTGAGAATGTCAAGGCGGAGAACGTTGGACGCCAGCTCGGGTTTGCCATGTCAGGCATATCCTTGGGTTAGAGTATCGTAAGACACTTGGAATTCCTCAAGCAAATGTAGCTGGCTCAATCTTAGGCTCCGCCGATCGCTGGGGCTCTCTACGACAGATTGGGCTGGAATGCCCCCTTCATATCCTGCATCATCGTCCTTTCTGTCGACCTTCTACTCCGTCTCTTTGTACTCGAGCGCTCCGATATACGCAAGTTTCATGAAAAGCCTCTGTTCCTCCGGCCTGGTACTCTCAAGGCTCGGCTAGTGGATGGGAGAATTGTGACTTCGGACGACCAGGGGTTCAAGGACGTGGGGTTCACCGAGTTGACCAAGGCGGAACAAGATACGTTGTATGGGGTGGAGCTCAAGCCGTGGGAGGTGCTGGGAGCCTCGATCAAATCTCCCAGAGGTATGACGGCGTTTGCGTCCATATTTGTGTATGGTCTGATTGGCGGAGCTCTGCAGCCAACGTGAGTACAACGACGAGGGCACAACAAACGACTGTGCGCTGACGTCAACCTGGCAATAGTCTCACTCTCCGCGTTCAAGAGCGCTGGAACAGGAACTCGGAGTTTGTTGGCCTCATATACTGTACGTTTGTCGGCCTCACTATCGAGAGACTAAGCTGACGACAGAAACAGTGGCAGCTGCGGCCCCCACCCTCATTGCCGGGCCTATCGTAGGCGCTCTTTCAGACAAGTTCGGCGCGGAAATGATCATGTTGCCTTGTATGATCTTACTTTTGCCTTGGCCGCCTTTGCTCCTCCTCAGAAACAGTCTCGCTGAACTCATAGTCTACTCTGTTTTCGTCAGTGAGTAGGGGTGTCCATATCAGCTCATGTTTAAATCGAAAGCGTTGCTAATCATCTCGACAGACTTGTTTTCTACTTGCGCGATGAACCCGAGTGGGCTGGAGGCCACTATGGTAGCCAGAAATATTCAAGGTGTCAGTGAAATTCGTGAGCCACTATGTTCTTCCGTCTCCCTTGTTGAAATCTAACCAATCGGCAGATCAATTCGGTGCTATGGAGATCGCTTTCGGTAAGCCTCGACCGTCTTCAAAGATTTCTTCTTGACGGCTGATCTTGTACGTGTTTGCTCTCTCGCCCACGTCTACAACATCAGCCCTCTCAAACGCATTAGGCACCTTGGCCGGTGGTCAGTTCTACCACAAGATCCCCAATCATCAAGGATGGACTGCCGTCATCTGGTTCATCTTTGGTGTCTCGGTCGTCGTCATGCCGATGATGTTCTGCTTGGCCGGAGAACCAGAACTGACTTTGGCCATGCGGCTGTTTGGGAGATGGGACTGGAATCTCGGCCAGGGGATAGAGCAACGAGAGAAGAGGAAGAACAGGCACGAGAGCTTCAACGAGATTCCGTAGAGAGCAGCGGGGAAAGAGCAGTTCAAGAAGGCCACCAAAAGTAAACACCTTGCTGTAGCATATCATCGACATCATCGGCATTGTCCTGCCTCATATACACGCATCTTATTTGAGTCAGCTTTTTACCAATAAAAGATTCCTGCTAGCATGTAACATATAGCCAAACAGCACTGCTATTACCCGACTTCAGTAGAGGAAGCCCGTCGTAGTGTCCACAATTCTGGTCATGCGCATATGGTGGTTTCGTCCGGGTTCTGTCGTCGCTCGTTAAGCTGTCCTCTCGCCATGCTAGACAAAAGCTCATTCACACCGCCCATGTAATGCAAATGTCGGTCTGCTCCTTGTACATGTCGCATACCACAAAAAAGCTCAACCTTCTGGATATCCTCCTTTCAAGCTCGTTTCTCACAACAGCTCCCTCCCGTTGTTCTACTGTTTTACTGTGACCAGGAAAACAAGAAGTCCTTCTTTCTTCTTTTGATCTTCTGATGATGATTATATTCGTGGAATCTTCTCATCCTAGGAGGCCTCTAGAAGGCTGGCACATATATTATTTCCCATCATCGGAAGGAGCAAAGCTTTCCCAGAAAAGTCACTACCAAGGAGAAGCGGCTTCCTTCATATGAGCCGAGATTGAATTTGCTTCACACCACCTTAGTGTTGTTGCTGTCGCTAATGAAGCCACTATACTCCGAAGATTTATGATTCGAACTTTCTCATCAGCATATCGCCCACATCCTCCAACATACAAATACAAGCTGCGGCTGCAAAGTCTATTTCTACTTCTTCCCACCGAACACCACATCGACTGAAACGTCAGTAACACGTAACATAAGCACAATGTCATCTCAGCAAGGCAGCACGATAACCATCACTTCTTACCGGGACTTCACGAGTGCACTCTCTTCTATCCAATCGGGAAGCCACAACTTTTCCAATACGTGGTCCAACAGGGAGATTATGCAGAACAACTATCACACCTACAAATCCCGGCTTACCAACGACCAGCAGACAGATGCCCTTACAGCCATCACGGACATGAATACGAGTGGTGGTGATTGATCGATACGATTTCCCACCTATTCGCCATGGGTCGAGTCATACTACTTGTGTAGAAATGAGGAGGATTATTGATGAGAATGAATGATGAGTAGGTAGCACCCACAGCTGTTTGTTGTATAGTTGAAGTGCCCACCACCAGAGAACCACGACCGTAGTCTAGTGATGATCATCAGATGACGAAAGGACGATTTTTGTTGTTCACAGGCTTCTGCCATCGCTCTGTCTCTGCCTGCTGTCTAGATTGCGATCATGGTCAGCTTCAGGACTGGAGTACGTTATTGACTCTTTCACTAATAAGGCAAACGACCTACCTGTTTTTTTTACCAAGCACGGCTCTCCAGAGCCCGACAAAAGTCTGAAAGTAAACATAGTTATATTTGAATGAAGGTGGCGATGCCAATCCAAGTTGAGGGAAGACATACAGCTCACCAGGCCAATGATAATTTACTCAACCCGAGATCTCCTCAATACACTGTATTCTAGCAGCGTCGTCGGTAGTGGCCCGGTAGCTGACCTGATTACAATCATACTTTATATGCCCCACTCATCTCCGAGCCGTGTTCCCTTTTCTCTCCTCCATTCATGAGCGGGATGTCTCCTTATTACCTCTTGAGTCGACCAAAGGAGTTGGAAAAGAACAACAGAGCCTCAAAATACAAAACAGCCATCCAAGACCGGCCCCGCTCGTCGTGATTTAGCACACCGCCTAATTTGCTGCACAATACGGATTCGGCAAGCGGCAATTCAATTTGGATGTTCTCGGTCTCAGACTAGACTGAGAAAAGCATTGCTGTGCATACTACTCAATCCTATCATGCAGAAGTGAGTTAAACGAAGTGAAAGGACGACACCGACGAAATTCTATGGGAAAGACAATTGTTCAGCCTGATCACAAGTAGATAAATGGAAATATGTCTCAACAAGAAGAAGAGACGCCCATCGCCAGTGAGTCCTTGGCAGACTTCAGAACTACAGTACAATCCATCGTCTCTGATACCCCGTTATTCGAGACAACGGTCACCAACAGGACTGCACTAAATGAGGCATGTCACAAGTTCTCCTTGTTGATGGACGCCGAAGAGAAGATCGAATTGTTGATGGCTATCACTAAACTGTACGGACCAGGCGGCGCTGGCAGTAGGAGTCAGGGAGACGGGGGAGGCGATGATGTTCTTGATGACGAGATTGCCCCTCAACAAGGTTCTGCAGTCCCAAAGCACAATCAACATGTACATGATCCATTCTGTCTGAATCTCAGGTCAGATGAGAAAGTCATGCACTATTTGTCTTGATGACTTTCTGACACGATTTTTGTCGCCCAGCCCGATAAGTGCGGGAAAGATGTTGTCTCAACGATGTTCGATTGTCTATGTGGTGTTGTTGGTTGCAAGACTATCAGTGCGAAGAAGCACGGTGCTGCTGCCTGTGGAGGTGCGACTCGGACTATGACCCGTCTCCCATTGTTGTTTTATGTGACCGACTTGATTCAGCTTGGAAATACAATAGTGGCGGTCAAAATGGAGTAGCACATTATTGCTTATCAACACCGCTTTATCCCTTCATGCCACTACATCAGTATTCCCATTTATCTATCTAATCCGACATGGCTTCTCGTAGATAACGTAGACTAGTGATGCTAAGGCCAGCAACGTATGTATATATAGTGCTGATGGGACTCACAAATATCCCCTGTAGCATATACAGATACTCATCGCCCTATATATATAAGCGCAATCAACAACATCTTGTCGTCCACCACCAGCAATCGGAAAAGAATGTCAACGCCGCTTCAAGATACACTCACCATCACCACAATCGAGGATTTTAGGTCCACCGTCAGATCCATCCAATCCAACACTCAGAACTTTGCACCAACTTGGCTGAACAGGTCGGAAGTTCAAAGAGCCCTCGGCGATTATGAGTCCCAACTTACCGAAGCTGAGCGGATTACAGCACAAACTGTGATCAGAGGTATGGGTACAAGTGGAGGTTTTGGGTCACTCCGTCGCCGCCAGTAGCCATCGTAGTATGAGGCTAGTGCAAGGCGGCGTGCATGGGCAGCCAGCTCAACAGAAGGGTCATGAATTTGATCATCAGTAGTTAGTGGTAGTAGTAGAGCAGCAGGATGATACAGTCGTCGATGAATGATGCAAGTGCTATGAAGAGGTCGCTTGATACCTGACTACCATGCCATGATATACCTATGGTGCACGTTGAGATCTGGTTGATGAGGCCCCTCCGGGATATGAGCATATGTAGCGTGCTACGTAGTGCGTCTCCGCCCTGTTTAGATCGTGCTCGGGCTTCCGACGTGTATGGTCTATGGATCCCTCCGTGCGACGCGAGATATTTATACAGCATCGTCTGGCCAACAGGGGATGCAAGCGGTACATCCTCCTCTGGCCCCTGAGACCTCTGATATCTCATGCTATCCGTGCTTGGGTGCTAGTGCGAGCGTGCGTTGAATGGCGGTGAGAAACTGAGCGATATAGTGAACACACAGCCTCGAGTCACGCTATTTCTAACCCCTCCTTCCACCCAGATTCGCATCTCTCTTTCCTTTCCTCTCGTCCTTCCATCCCAATATCGACAAGTTCATGAACGCAATTCAAGACAGTCCACCCGGAAGAGCTTTGCCCTGGGGCCATCAGGTGAGCACCCCGCACTCTCAACGCCGCGCCGGCCTTCGCTCATCGCAGGCACAGTGGAGAAGCTCAGCATGGTTCATAACTCTCGTCGTCACATACGGCATCGCTATAGACACCCTCACAGATGTAAGCCCCCCGCATGCCGCTCACAGCTTGCTCCTGACACCAATATCAGGCTATCGTCGTCCCCATCCTCCCATTTCGCCTCCTAGACCTTGGGTACCACAACATCGCTTCAGACACCGGCCAGCTGCTCTTTGCACGTTCCGCGGGAATCGTCACCTTCACTCTTCCCGTCGCCTACTTCTTTCACAAGTATCCCTACCGCCGCTTACCTCTGGAGGTCTCTGTGCTCGTAATGATCGCCGCAAATGTACTTTTCATGTTGAGTACGCAATTTTGGACGATGATCCTTGCGAGGTATATCTCAGGTGCCGCAAGTACGGTGGCTCTCACTGTTGGTCTTACACTGATGTAGGTATCGTGTCTTCAAACCAATTTTGCGCGCTGATGGTGGGCAGCGGCGAGAACGTGAAAGAAGTGAAAGCCGGACGGCATCTGGGACTCGCCATGTCTGGTCTTGCCCTCGGCCAAAGTATTGTAGGTCGCAATATCTGTCGGCTTCCCATAAATTATGACTGATGACCCAGGCGCCCATCGGAACAGTATTGTATGAGCATCTTGGCTGGAAAGCCCCCTTCACGTTCTGCATCGGTGCTCTCTGCCTCGACCTCTTCCTCCGTCTGTTCGTGCTCGAGCGCGTCAACATTCGCGTCTTCCATGAGAAACGCCTCGGTCTGAAACCAGACAGTCTCAAGCCCAAGCTTCTGAATGGCAAGATCACCACGCCAGTCCACCACCACATCCGAGACTTTAGCTATGCAGAACTCAATAAAGCGGAGAGAGAGGCCTTGCTCGGCATTGATCTCAACCCATGGCAGGTATTGAAGGCTATGGTACGATCGCCAAGGGGTATGACTGCTATCATGTCAATGTTCACGTATGGGCTCCTCTCTGGAACTCTACAGCCGGTGTGAGTACTTGCAGGGCCTGCCAGCTCAACCGGTGGTACAGACTGACATTACTTGCCGTCTTTAGTATCACCGTGCGTATTCAAGAGCTCTGGAACAAAAGCTCTGACACTGTCGGACTTGTATACTGTGGGTTCCTCTTCTTCACCAGCGTCTTTCCCCTCACTGATACCTTGAGAAGTCATCGCTACATTCCCGACTCTCATTTCCGGCCCAATCGTCGGTTATGGTGCGGACAGGTGGGGCGCTGAATGGGTCATGTTGCCCTCCATGCTCCTTGTCCTCCCCTGGCCACCTTTGATGTTGGAGACTGGCGGTATAGGCGCATTCGTTGTCTTCTTCTTGTTCATCAGTGAGTATTGCTATGAATGATGAGAATTTTTGGGCTGACGTGAAGGCAGATCTGTTCTCGAACTATGCATTCTATCCCAGTGGGCTTGAATCCACTATTATTGCTAGGCGCACGCAAGGTATCAGTGAGATTCGTAAGTAGTGTCTTGACCTCTTACTGTATTCGTAGGCTGACGTGGAGTCTTCTAGATCAATTCGGTATCATGGAGGTCGCCTTCGGTAAGTCTCATGAGCCGTATCCCCTTTACACCCTCGGGAATCGAAATGCTGACCTTCTCAAAGCAACTGCCACCGCTGTAGGCACGCTGGTCGGAGGTCACGTCTATGACGAGGTTCCCAGCAACGCCGGATGGGACGCCGTCATGTGGTTCCTTTTCGCCATCGCCCTCCTCAGCTTACCCATGGTCTTCTTTTTCTCCGGCGATGTTCCTTGGGTGAAGAAAATTTTCAGCCGCAAACAGCCCAAGATTGCGGGTCAGTCTGTGTGCATGCAGAGGCTCGGGGATGATAATGAAGACAATGCCGGCGGGGAGAAGAAGAGGATGGATGATAAGGCCGAGGAGGCATGGTTGGAGATGAAGGCGAAGATGGAGGATGACCAGAGGGAGTATTCAAAGCAGAAAAAGAAGAGCGATTCCTCTAACCCTGCTTTTGAGGTCTGAGACTTTCCAAAAGTCAGGTTAGATAGACAACAATCGATACGTACCATGAGAGGCTCTCGGCCTGGAAGCAGACTCATCGCCTAGTTGTATATTACATGAAAAACAATAGTAATAACTCATCATTCTCTCCGATAGAGCGAATTCATTTTCGAATTCTATCTGTATATGTATCACTGTTCCATCTTGGTTCCATCCTTCTCCGTCGTTTGTCCGTCGTTGTTTGGTCGTTGTCGTTTCACGAACTTGGCCGGTTGGCAGTGGATAGCGGCAAGGACCGCTTTAGCTGTGGTCACGTGGTGCGCCTATTACCTTCGACATCTTGAGATTTCTTCGACAAGTTGCATCTGCCCCACGCCTCGCCCTTTCCAGCCTCGAATCTCGACCAAAAACACCTCGGAATACGGTAAAATAGTGTTCCAATGCTCACTACCCAAAGTTTCGCCGAATTACGCCTACTCTCCGTCCGCACGGCTTCGACTTCGTCTGGTTCTCAACGGCGTTTACGATCGCTTCCTGCAAGCCCATCGATATGGGGCAGACGCTACAATTCTGGTCAGGGTTCAAAACCGGAAGCAGAAGAACTTCATGAAGATAGGTCGCCGAGAGGAGAAGCAGGAGAGGCTGAGCAGCCGTCAAACCCGACAGGCCAGGAAAGGCGTGCGGGGATGGAAAGTGAGACTTCCGGCGGGCACTTGTCTGTAGACACGAAAGAACCTTCACCAAGAGCTACCACGTTCGCGTAAGCCATACTGGGTAAAATCGATAATGAACCAGTCTGACTTGCAGATAGTACATCCGAGGCCCAACCGGCGCACCAGAGTAAGGCGTTCAACGAAATCCTCAAGACCCTCTTTCAGGAGTACGTTCTTGTCTTAGAAACTATCACTTTTCTATATCCTGACACGCAACCACAGAGGCAGCAAACAGCCATCCAACCCTTCCTTTTCCTCGACCCCCCGAACAGAGTCCATAATTTCCAAGCTCAAAATCAACCTCTCCTCCGCTCCTCGTCCTCGCAGTTTTCGTGGCACCCGCTCCCGTTCAGATCGCTCAGCGGGAATGAGCCCTCACGAGTCTAGCAAGTTTACCCAGGCAATCATGAGTATTCTGGATACTTTCCCCAAGGGTACTGAAGGGGCTGGTGGAGTTGGTGGTAGCAGGGGCGGGGACGATGCGTTCAGCGCAACTCAGTCTGGAGGTTTTGGTTTCGGATTAGGCAAGGATCGATCACGGGGAACAGGATTTAGTCCCTTCAGATCTGGAGCTGGGCAAGACTCCCTCCGCAACGTTGTCGGCTTTAGCGGCAGGTCGCAGTCAGCAGACGAGCTGATAGAGGAGTATGAGATCTTGGCGGAGCAGATCAATGTGATCCAGACCGATGTGGAGCTAGTGGAATGGGCCAAGGAGCATGTCTTCAAAGCGCAGGCTGTGCCAGAGCCCCAAATCGCCTCAGAAAGCTCGAAATTACTGGGCGAAGCCACAGGCGAGATTGAAGCTACTGCCTCCGCCACACATGACCTACCACCTCTCCTCCAATTCTCCCCCGTGTATCCCAAGATCCTCGCTCGGACGCTCGAAGTTCTTCGGAAGAATTTCAACTCCCCACACCTTCTCCTCGCTCTCTTCCACCACGCCCAGACCTCTTCCCTTGAGTCATACCTCTCTGGATGCGGAACTGCAGCCTATAATCAAGTCTTGCTGTGCAGATGGGAAAGTTTCAGGGACTTGGAAGGAGTGATGAGAGGAGTCCGGGAGATGGGGATGATGGGTGTCAAGTGGGACCGAGAAACCAACAGGCTTGTTGGGCGTGTGGTTGATGAAGTCGGTAGAGATATGTTGGAAGAGGGGCAGGGGAGCAGGTGGGGCAAGAAGGAGGATGTGTTGATCATGTTGCAACAGTTGGAAGAAAGAGTAGAGAAAAATGTCCTGGACGAAGAGAAGAGGAGGGATTACGAGGTGAAGATGAAGAGGAAGGACAGGGAAAGGAAAGAAGCTGAGGCCACGAGAGAGGCTACGAGGCAGGCGAGGGAGGAGACGGATGTATGGGTATAATATTGTATAATGTAATGACATGCTCTATTCCATGACTGCGATACAAGGTGTTGAATACAAATGCATGACACGCAGATCCCAAATAATCATTACAACACGATACTCTGGATGTTCCAATCCCATAGCCATGGACTTTATTGCGCATTACCGTTGCCGCCGAAACGAGCGTGACTAGAAGCGAACAGGCGCTCCTGCAGCTCTAACAGCTCGTCCTCAGTCATACCCTTGGTGTCGGGTTGAGAGCGGACGCGCTCCTAGACATGAAATCAGTAAGTGCTGAGAAGGTAGGGCAACAATAGGACGCAACATACCTTCTGAGCCTGTTTGAAATCGGCATTCGACACCTCGACCTGTTCCACAAAGTCTTCAAATCCCAATTGCTACGCACTCATCAGCACTTGCACCAAAGCTGCATTGGTTACTGGAGGACGTCGGAAGCATCACATACCTTGAGGGCTTCGACGACATGTTCAGGAGAGATGGTCTTCTTGGAGGAGGCTTCGCAGACCATGTTGGATTGTGTCGAGATGAGTTTGATCCATTCTACATATGACGGAAGCAATACTCGTAAGCTTAAGATAGCGATGTGGAAAGGTGATATCGGGGGCTTACCGGTGCAGCAGTCGAAGATCACGTCCTTGGCTTCTTTAGAGGCGGAAATCTCGTCCGGCAGGAGCTCTACAGAGTCACAGTCAGTTCCATTACAAATGCTTCAGTCTTGCGTTGTGCCCCGTCTTTCGCCTCTAGAAAGCCCAGTTCAACAATCCCTTGAATATTCAAGGCCATACGCACCTTGAATGATCTTCAAAACAGTCGCTTTCGGCAGACTGACATCGTCGTCACCTTGCTTGGGGGGCATCTTCCTAGAGTTCTACTATATTGTGTCCCTGTAGAGAGTATGTGGGGGGAGCTTGGTCTCGAAGGTTGACTGGATTAGATAAGAGATATAGATGAAGGTATAAAAGTGTGTCCACCGGTGGAGGAGTTGTTTTTTCGGCGCGTTTGCGGCATTCCTCGCTTTCAATCGTCGTCGCCAAAACATCAATTTGATCTTTGGACCTTCCACAAGCTGCCATCCTGCTTGCAGCTTATCGAATCTTCAAAGCCCAATTCAGCATACACCAACATGAGCGCCACGAAACAAGGAGCTACCGCGGTCCACGGTAGCAACCCCCAAGTATGCCGTTCATCTCTCGCGGTCAATGCCCCGCTAACGTTTCTCAGTACCTGATAGAGAAAGTCATCCGTGCCCGTATATACGACTCCCTCTACTGGAAAGAACACTGCTTCGCCCTTACCGCCGAGTCGATTATCGACAAAGCTCTCGAGCTCCCAGCCATTGGTGGCGTGACGGACAGGCAGACGCCGACGGCGTTCATGTGTCTGCTCTTGAAGCTGTTACAACTACAGCCAGAGAAGGAGATTCTGGTGGAATATCTTTTGGCAGAAGAGTTCAAGTACGTCTTCATGCATGGCTGGAGTATGCGAGAAGATCAAGAGCTGATGATTCACAGGTATCTGAGAGCCTTGGCAGCGTTCTATATTCGATTGACGTTCAAGAGTCTGGAGGTGTACGAAATACTCGAGCCGCTGCTCGCAGACTATCGTAAACTGCGCGTTGCCCATGCTGGTGGGTCTATCCAACAAATTCATGGAAGCGACGCTGATGGCATTTAACAGGTGGCTACTCTCTGACGACGTTTGACGATTACATTGACGAGCTTCTCACGCAAGAACGTGTGTGCGACACCATTCTGCCACGTCTGACGCAAAGATCCGTACTGGAAGAGGTGGAGGGGCTGGCGCCTAGAAAGAGTTTGCTCGTGAGTCCTGCCTTACCGATTGTTCGGACATCACAACCCTCTACATGTTTCAATCATGTCAAACAAGTAGAACTGACAATCTCTCAGGAAACCCAAGAAGAAAGTAAAGGCCACCGAGGTCGCTCAAGATCAAGGTCTCGCTCGCGCTCCAGATCTTTGTCCGCCTCCCCTCCCCGCTACACCTCTCGCTCTCCTTCGCCCGCATCATCGACCTCTTCGCGAGGAGACAGATTCGTCTCTCGTTCTCCTTCCCCGCCATCGGGATCAGAAGACGGAGGGGAAGAGGGCGATACTCGCGACAGATTCATATCAAAAAGTCCGAGTCTGTCGCCTGATAGGGTTATGGAAATTGGGGCAGAGGATGTGCTGGAAGGGGACGTCTAGGGCAGAAGCAACGAGAAGCAAGAAGTAAAGTATATATGCATGGGCTATTTTCAGCCTCGTGAAACCATTACATGCCCATCCTAATCGTACACTCCAATCATCCAAGTTATCTCCTGAATCCTCGACCCCCGAAAGCGCTCTTCTGCCCGCCTGCCGACGAGTTGCGACCTTCCAACTCTCCAATCTTCTCTCCCAACCTGCCTACACCCCCATCGATACTTCCCAATGCTCTCAGGTGCGCACCCAAAATCGCCGACAGTTGGTTGATTGGGTCGTCTGGCATTTGAGCTTGCGAAGCTGCTTGGGCAGCTTGTCCCTGCGAAGGTGTTCCTGGACGGCCACCCGCAACAGAAGACGCGAGAGAAGCAGAAGTAGGAGGAGCGGAAGATGATGGGGAGGAAAGTGTGTTCACTTGTTCGATCATTTGAGACAAGTTGCGTGAGATGTCATCGAGTTGCTTGTTGAGATCTTCGGCGAGTGTATAACTGTTCAACTTTCAGCATTGATCCAGGCAGAATGAAATAGACTTACGCCTTTTCACGTTCCCTCTCAGCTGGCATCTTTCCAACTCTGACACCACCGCCTTCTCCTCCAGCACCACCACTGTTTGCCTTCTGAACCTCCCTCTCGTACATGTCCAAAACCTGCTCGAGCTGGGTCTGTTGAGCTTCAAAGTAAGCCAAGGGCTCGTCGACAGCTGCTTGCGTTTGTTGAGCCTGAAGAAGGTTCTGGCGGAGATTTGTGATCTGTGACTGTTAGAACGAGCTTTGAGGATGTTGACTGGACTCACTTGGGTACCATTCCTGACCAGGACCTTGTCCCACTCCCTGACCTCTCCAGCTTGCCTCTCAAACTCCTTAACCTGCTCTTCCAAATCCCTGTCCCAGCTCTCAACGATGTCCTCAAGTGTCTTGCCGCGAAGAAGGTTGGGCGCGGACTCGGAAGGCTTTTCTTTCGAAGCTGGGGCTGTTGTTGAGCCAGCGGCAGGGGCAGGGACGGAGGGAGTGCCAGCAGCAGGCGCAGGAGTGGACGACGCTGGCTTGGCGCCGAAAAGTCCGCCCGATGCTGGAGCCGGGGCAGCAGCAGGCTCAACAGGCTTGCTACCAAACAGACCCCCCGCCGCAGGAGCGGGCGCGTCCTTCTTCTCCCCTTCCTTGGGCGCACCACCGAAGCCACCAAATAAACCTCCAGGTGCAGCAGGCTTGGGCGCTTCGTCCTTTTTCTCTCCAGCAGCAGGAGCACTACCGAAACCGGCAAACAGACCACCAGCAGGGGCTTTGGGAGCTTCGTCCTTCTTCTCAGCCGCGGCGGGTGTAGGGGCAGTACCGAAGAGTCCACCGGCAGGCTTGGGCGCCTCTGTCTTTTCCGCAGAGGGCGCCGCGGCGGGCGCACCGAACGAAAAGCCTCCTGCAGGCTTGGGAGCAGCTGGAGCGGGAGCAGGGGCGTCAGTTTTGGGGGCACCGAAACCAGAGAACAAGCCGCCACTAGCTGGAGGCGCGGCCGGAGCAGGGGTCGGAGCAGCAGGTTTAGCGCCAAACAGTCCACCGGCAGTAGGAGCAGGTGCCGCAGCGGGTGCCGAGCCAAAGAGTCCACCGGACGGAGCCGCAGGGGTTGAAGAGGGGGTGGAACCTTCAGCGGGTTTGGCACCAAACAGCCCCCCGGTAGGAGCAGCAGGGGCAGCAGGCTTAGCGCCAAACAGACCTCCTCCGGAAGGAGGAGCAGGAGTAGAACCAAACAAACCACCACTAGGAGCAGATGTGGCGGGAGCGGGGGTAGAAGATGAAGGGGCCGCACCAAAGAGCCCACCACCAGTAGCTGGAGCAGCGGGAGCTGAAGAAGCCGCAGGCTTAGCACCAAATCCTCCAAAGAGACCACCTCCTGAGGGAGCTCCAGGAGCGGAAGCGGAAGTCTGAGCGGGCTGAGCACCAAAGAGACCTCCACTGGGAGCAGCAGGGGCAGAAGATTCAGCAGGCTTGGCTCCAAAGCTGAAGCCCGAGCTTGCGGGGGCAGATCCACCGGCAGGGGCGGCAGGCTTCGCTCCAAACAGCCCTCCTCCACCAGCAGCCGAAGCGCCACCGAAAAGGGATCCGCCAGCAGGGGCAGCAGGAGGGGCAGCAGCGGGAGTTGTACTGCCAAATCCACCGAAAGAAGGCTTGGATGCGGGTGTAGTTGAGCCTGCCGCGGGTTGCTGACCGAATCCACCAAACAATCCTCCTCCAGAGGCGGGGGCAGCAGGGGCAGCGGGAGTTGAAGATGCAGGAGCAGTACTACCAAAGAGTCCACCGCCAGTCGATGTCGATGGTGCGGGGTTGGAACCAAAGAGGCCACCGCCACTAGCAGGGGGTTGGGCAGGAGCAGCTCCAAAGAGAGATCCTGTCTGTCCAGCCGCTGTCACAAATGATCAGTACCAAGATTGAATGCATACAGTCGACTTACGTTTAGCACCGAACCCGCCAAAACTGGTGGTGCCGGAGTTGTTGTTGTTGCTCTGACCGAATCCGCCAAAGCCCGCTATCATCCCCTCTGTTAGTACTGCCCCTTACAATCCAGAAAGCACGTACACATGATATATAGATTGCGGCTGTGGAAGGTGGACGATGTAAGGTGTTTTTGAAAGTAAGTGAAGAGTGAGAAAATAGGCGCAGGGTCATATCTCTGGTTATGGCGCGCCTATCCCCGGTGGAAAAGCGCTCTCCTCATCTCCTCTTGCATTTCCCTCCTTCTTCCATCCATCCCATCAAATCCCCCCATGTCTGCCGTCGCCGTAAGTTCATTGCTGGGCAGGGTACTGCGGGTATAGCAGCACAAGCTGACGCGTAGACGTTCAATCTCAGCCCGTCAACCCCAAACCCTTCCTCCAAGATCTTACCGGCAAGGTTGTGTATGTCCGTTTAAAGTGGGGCTTGGAGTACAGGGGATATCTCGTGTCTACGGATGGGTACATGAACCTCCAGGTGCGTTATTATATCCCATGTTATTGGTCTATCCCGTGTCAGAAACACCAGGACGGGGAGTCAGAGTATAGACAACTGACTTTGTTACTTGTAGCTCGCAAACACTGAGGAGATTGAGAATGGCAAGTCAAATGGTGCTTTGGGAGAAGTGTTCATTCGCTGTAACAACGTCCTCTACATAAGGTGGGTCATGGCCTCTGCGATATCGAAAGTATTTACTGATTGTCTACATCTTCCGCCTCGCCATTTATCCCGTCCCACTTTATCAACAAATGATATTCGCACCGTACCAATACCCATCCCCACTACATCCTCCATTACGATAATTCCACAACTGCTTTATCGTGGATACAAAAACAACTCGACAGAGAATCGAAGGACCGAGGAATGGACCAAGACTAAGAGGAACGGCGGGCGAGAGCGAGAGGGATCATTGTACCATTATATTGGAACAAAGGGTTTGCTGATGCACAAAAATACCCGGCTTCCCTTCCATCTCAGAGGAGAAGGAAATCAGCAATGTCAAAGAAGAGCTGGGCAGAAACAAGAACCACTAGGAAGAAACAAATATAATCACATGCTGAAAGACCGAAAGGAACATGACCCGACATGCTATGTACACCCCCCGCACTCTTCTACACTCTAACACTCTACTTGTTCTCGACGTGCACCTTTTCAAGGAGATCGGCCAGGCTGCAATCGTTGTTAGATAGACGCATGCAACGAAAAGATTCCACCCACTCGTCAGTCTGCTTGTCAGAGACAGCAGGAATCTTGCCATCATCAGACTCTCCATCATCGACACCGTCGCCTTCCTCTTCGCTCTCCTCTTCGTCAGACTCGGGCTCTTCCATGTCGTCCACTGTTCTCTGTCAGTACATCTCTAGCGAACAAAAGGAGACGTACACTCGTCGAGGGCGTCCTCGTGGCCTCTTTCCTCTAACGCCTTCTTGAGCCTCTCCACACACTCGTCCTCTTCCGCAAACCTGTTGCCATTCAACTCGAGCACCTCGAGGTTTTCGAGGTGCTGGGCAATAGCCTCGGCCAGAATGTCAACAGACGTGCCGTCCATCTCGCCATACTGCAGCTTCAAGCTTTCAAGCTTGGGGTTCGATCCGTCCCTGAGGGAAGTGGTCAAAGCAATACCCCCGGCCTTGCCGAGGAGACAGTCGGAAAGGTTGAGGTGCTTGAGCGAGGGCCAAGACGGGAGAGACTTTACGATAGCGCGGGTGCCGGATTTCGTGGCAGTGTTATCTTGAAGATCGAGGTGTTCGAGGGACTTGCACCCTGTCAGTCCCTCGGCGATGGCCTGGATACCTTCCATACGGATACCGTTCTGCGGCATCCTGACCTCTCTCAGACCAGGGTGCGCCCTGAAAGCCTCTGCCCAAGAAGGGGCAGAGCCATTCTCTAAACGGTTCCTTCCACAGACAATCACCCTCAAACTCGCCTCTTTACCCTCTTCCTTGCACTTTTCGGCATTCTGCTTCAAGGCCTTGGCGATTTCAGCGCCACCGGCAGGGCCCATACCGTTGTTGTTGAGTTTGAGCACGGAGAAGTGGGTGTGGGAGGAGAGGAAGGGGACGAGGGTCTCGGCCAGACGGCCGCCGAAGGCGTTATCACAGAGATCGAGCTCGACTAGCGAGGTGACGGAGGAGAGGGCTGAGAGGAGGTGGGAGAGGGCTTGGGGGATTTCAGAGATCAGACGGCCGGTAAAGATGTCTGCAAAGTCGGCAATCTGGTAGACATCAGCTTCGATTCGCCGTCTCCAATAAAGACGAGACGCACCCTGAGGTTGTTCTTTCCTTTCAATGCTTCAGCAACAGCCTCACAAGCCTCGACACCGAGACTATTTCCTCCAAAGTGCACCTCCTCCACATCTTCCATCGCGCGAAGCTCTGAAAGGTATGGCTCGAGGTCGGCGGGAGAGTTGGCTTTGATATTCTTGCCGAGAATGGAGAATGACTTGGACATCTTGAGTGATCTTTGAGAAATCGGGTGGGAGGGATAGGGAGGCAAAAAGATAGAGAGAGAGCAAAAGCACAAAGAAAAAAAATCAGAGAGGCTGACGCGCGGAGCGTGTTCACCACTGACCACGTGGCTTTCACGTGGCTCGCCTGAGGTATGTTTAGGTTGGTATACATGATTATGCATGAGAGTTCAGATCAGAGACTTGCGGAGAAGAAGTATATGCAGGATAGCGGCCTAATGGTCATGAAGATAACTACACTTCTCCCTCAACTTATAAAGAGATTACCACACTTCATCGACCTTGCTCCTGCTGATGCAGAACCCTGGCGTGACCCACTCCTTACACCCACATTGCACCCCCGCCCAATCATAGTTGCCAATCTTGACACCACACTTTTCGTTCGGGCAGACGAGCTTGCCAGCCACAGCAGACGAGGCGAGGGTCGGTTCCATCCAAGTCAACTGGGGATTCGTTAGCGCTTGGTGATGAACAAGAAAGAATGACTTACAGGCTCGACAAAGTAGCCGGAACATTTGGGGTTGACAAGGATAGGCGGGGGAGTGTATCCCATGAGCCCATGAATATCATTGCTCCCTCTCCTCTCCTTTGCCCCCGCCTTCTCCGGCAACGCTTCGTCCGCAGAAGCACCAGCGGGGGTCATCGACAACAGAGACCTTCTCCTGGATGGAGACTGCGCAGGGTTGGACGAAGCACTAGCAGGAGTAGAAGCGTTGGGAGCCGGGTTGGCAGGAGGGCTAGGGTGGATGGGCGAGTTGGGCGCGGTGCTTCCAGGCGTCGAAGCAGGGGAAGCGCCGGTACCGCCTCCGGCCATCCTGAGCGCAAGCAGGTGAGGGGGTAGACGGGCCATCAACTGATCGGCCGACTGCAAAGGCCTACCGCCTCGACCCACCGGAGCGGGGACAGGGACAGAGGAGGAAGGCTCGCTCTTTGATTTGGGCAGAGGGACCTGGGGCGAAGCGGGCTCGCTCTCGTCCTTCTTACCAGTATCGCGGTCGTACAAGGTCAGACCCACAGGCGAGGCGGTGGATCCATGACTCCCGCGTCGGCTGAGGCTGGCACCAGGCAGACCCGTGAGCGGGTTGATCACTTCACTGACCTGCGAACCTCGACGGCTCCTCTCTGAAAAGGGTGGAGGACGGACGGTGGCAGAAGATGAAGTCGAAGGGTCTTCGACGTCCGTAAAGGTCATCCCCGCACCAAACGAGAAACTGCCCCGCTTCCTCTCTGTCTCTTCTCCAGCACTGGGTGTCCTGGGCCTCGAAGGCGGCAGGGAAGGTGCAGGTGCTTGGTCAAGGATGTGCGGCATCATGTGGTCTCGCACAGCGAGGAGACGACGGCACATCTTGCACCTGATCTTGCGACGGGCATAGCCACGCGGGGTGGGCGGGTTGGAAGATGAAGGCGAGCCAGAGTAATTGGCGACGTTGGTGAGAGAGGGTGCTGAACCATCGCCGTCTAGCATCATCAGTACAAGACCAAGAGACGGGAAGAAAGGCTCACTGATGAATTGAGCTGCGCTTCTCTCCATGTACCACATCCTCACGCCTTTTTCCTTCAAGCTCACCTTCCCCCTCGCTTCCCAATACACTTGCAACTGTCCCCTGAACGTGACACTGGGCTCAATAACCTCCCGCTTCTCTTTGATCAGCTGGATAGCTTGATCCGGGGAAAGTGCGTAGGTGGAGATGAGGTACGCCGCACAGAGAGAAGCAGAGCGCGACATTCCAGCCTGGCAGTGGATAAGAATGGGGGCGGGATGAGGCGTAGGGATCTCGGCGGGCATGTCTTTGGGCCGCTGTGATTCCATCTCCTTCATGACCTCTTCCTCAGAATAGGCACCCTCGTACTCTTCTTCGTCGTCGTCTTCGCCATGGCCATGGAGCATTCCAAAGCCGTCGAGCGCCGTCCGGACCCAGCTGACGCACCCTGGCAAGTGGCTCAAGAGGTCGGTGTCGGTAGAGTCGTCGATTTCGACCTTGTAGACAGAGTACTCGTCTGGGAACATAAGGGCGGGTCGGAGGAGGGATACGATATTTTTCTGTGCACCTCATCAGCTCCATACCGTTAGACGTGAAGGGAGATACGTACGATACCATACTTGGCGAGCTCTTTTCGATCATTTGCAGCGACAAGATCGCCCACCCAAAGGCCGGGTATGATCTCTTGCATATGCCCATTCTCTTCCACCGCCTCTCCTTCCTCGTCTCCATCCTCCACTACCTGATCTTGATCCTGATACTGCTCAAGATATCCAGCTTCCTCGGGATCATTCGCAAACATGGCCATCTGTGCCGCCCTGCGCTGCTTTGCGCGTTCCATAATCTCTCGCTTCTCCTTTTCTTCTTTCGCCTCTGGGGTATCTTCTACGATCGCCTCATCGTCGATAGACACGCTCCCCTGGCTTTCTTGGGATTGGAGACGCTCCCTTTGCGCGCTCTGTGCGAGACGTTTGGCGGCGAGCCGCAAGCTCCCGCCCGAGGAAGAGAGTGCGGCAGAAAGTTCTTGGATGGCCAGGTCGTCAGGTTTCGAAGCGTCCGAGGGGGCGCTCTTGTGGCGCTCTTGGGTGCCGGCCATAACGGATCGTTACAGGATTCGTGAATGGAAGAAAGGAATTCAAGGTGAGATGCAATTGTTTCAAGCGAGCTCGGAAATTTGCGTCACTTGACACTGGACACTGGAGAATGGCAGGTTGCCGGGTAACGAGTGCGTTTACCCTGCTTGAACGTGTAATCTATAGGGGTCCTCGAGGCAGACACATGGGCTTGTATACGCAGTGGAATGCAGCATGCAAAGGGATATCCGGCCGAGAAGAAAGGAGCGACGTGGCGCCTCAGAGTCTCGTACCGCTTCTTCTCATTCATCCTCCTTCCTGGAATCCTGGCAACTTAGACACATGCCAAAAGCCTCCTTCACACACCACAAGGCCGTCAAACAACCCCACACGTGATTTCATCCCTAGATTCATGCTTTTTCAAGTTGTATTTTTTTCTACCACCACCAGCTCGCCCTTCTCCTTTCATCTCGTCACCAGAGACTCAATTTAAACACCCTGGGTAAGGGCGTTGTTGAATCGCTGGACTCGGGTGTAGGCAGAGAGGTCGATGGTCTTGTCTCCAAAGTCGACGAGGAGACCGCCGAGGACGGAGGGGTTGACCTGGGGAGTATGTCAGTTCCTATGGTCTCGTGCCGACTATTTCGTCTCAATAACAAGGATCGCCTCAAGCAACCGATACCTCCCCAACCACTCTCATGCCTCTGACATCCCCCATGCAATCTGAAACTACACTCACCCTGTTGACAACCTTCAAGGTCTTGCCCTTGGCAATCTCGGTAGTCTTCAAAGCCTTGTCCAACCTAGTCAACGCCTTGTTGTCCAAAGGCTCGGCACTGGTCACAATAACCTCAAGCTCGCCCCTGTAGGCGGCCATGAGGGAGTGGAAGTCGGCAAAGACCTTGGGGGCAGCAGAGAGACGGCCGTTTTCAGAGAGGACCGAAAGCAGGTTGAGGAGGATGGGGGAGGAGGAAGAGGGGAGGATGGTCTTGAGGGCGGCAGCACGCTCAGAGGCGGTCAAGGTGGGGTTTTCTACTGCCCGTTAGCGAGGAACCGAGGGGCGCTTGATACGGCGCGTACGGATGAAGGCAGAGATCTTGGCATCCTCCTTGATGGACCTGTCGAACGCCTCGACGTCCTTGGCCAGGGCCTCGAGGTCCTTGGAGCTCTTCTTGAGGGCGGCAAGGTAGGTGGAGGTGGCATAGGTGCCGGTGAGGGAGTTGAGCTGGATGGGGGCCTAGCGGGGGATGAGCTGATCAGTTCTGGGCGGGGAAAGCGGGGGTGCGCACCTTGACGGCGGGGGCGGCGGCGGCGGTGGCATAGCCCCTCTTGAGGACGTGGCGGGAGATGGAGGCCATGGTGGGTGAGCGAGATATACCCCTGCACGGCGCTGAAAGAGAAGACGGCGGTCCTTCGGGGTTAGCGTGTAACTACGGCGTGGCAGCGTAATTACCTTCCATTCTTACGCTCTTTCGGCCGCACAATCTATCCTCTGTTGCCATCCATCGACCATGTCTGCCTCGCTGCCCGTCTACCCATTCCTGCCCAGCCCCTACAGCGGGCCCCCCTACGACGCCCCCTACGCCCCCTTCGACCCCTTCCACCCCGTAGACATCGACAAGAGCCGTACGTCCCCCCGCCCCCGGAGTGCAGTTGCTCACCCCACACCAGCCATCAACTATCCCTTCCACCAGCCCTCCCCGGGCTCGTACCAGCAGGGCGGACAGTGCCAGCTCCCGTACCCGAACCTGGTACCCCCCAACTTTGGTTCCAGCGGTGGTGGTCGTTACTCGCCTACCGGATCGGCCGCGCCGACATCCGGGACCCAGAATGACCCGACGTCGTTTTTGGACCTCGACCTGTCCCAGCCTGGGCCATCCACGTATCGCTACCCGTACCCTCCTGCAGCACAGGCGCAGGGTCAGAGGCAGTTCACGTCTTCTCCGACATCATCGGCATCGCTGGTGAATGTCAAGGTGGAGGATCCTCTCTCGACGTGTCCTGGGTCACTTGCTGGGTCTGATATCCAGGACGGCTTGGGTGGAGATGCGGAGGGAGAGGAAGAGGAGGGCGAAGGCGGTGAGATGGACAATGAGGAGCCGCTGTATGTGAATGCCAAGCAATACCATCGCATCCTCAAGAGGCGTATGGCGAGGGCGAGGTTGGAAGAGCTCAACAGGCTGGTACGATCGCGCAAGGTGAGCCCACATCATAAAGAGCATGGCCCCGATGCTGACTCGTCTGCAGCCATATCTTCACGAGTCTCGCCATCGCCACGCATGCTCGCGACCTCGCGGAAAGGGCGGCCGATTCCTGACGGCAGAAGAGATCGAGCAGCTAAAGAAGGACGAGGCCGCCAAGCCCAAGGAGGTTGTAGCTTGAGATTCCCCTTCTTCATTCTGGATTCTGGCGCTCCTTGGAGCAGAGTGATACATGATACGATTTCCTAGATGTGTAACCACTAATTCAATCCTCTTCGTGTACTATAGTAAACTGTTCCCGGTAGGAGTCTTCCTCTCTTGTCTCTCTAGATACGTATATATTGCTAGAATAAAAAAAAAATGTACTCGCTGGTCTTGTTGGCATTCGACATTCCGAATGTTGGAGCACATGCGCGGATCCTCGTCGCGGATCCTCGGTCAGCGTGTCAAGCAGGTGCAGAGCATGCATCAGCAATACAATCGGCACATTTGCCACTCATCGACAGCCCCCTCACAGCCTCTGTGCCACTCTACGACCCAAGACACAACGTATGAACGTACATACCGATGCTGACAATTTTGCCAGTGACGCAGCCGGAGTTCAGACCTGTTTGGTGCGAGAATTCAAAAAAAACAACGCGTTTCGGCCGTAAACGGGCGTATCGGTTTTCATGAAATGGCAGGGCATCGGGACATTTCGGGATGATGTGGGTGGGGGGCAGGTTGAGTGATGAATGTGGCAGAGAAACGAGTAGCAATACATGATTCTCGATGCACAGTATATACAACCATACTTCTTTCTTCTTTTGAGATATAATCCTGTTGTACATTCCAAGGAGCAAGACTCTACTTGACCGTCCCTCAGCCTTCTCGTCGTTATTCTAGGCCTATCGCCGTCGTCGGGGACGGGTCCGATAGAAGTTCTAACACGCAGCATCAGCAAACTGCAGTGATAGACAGCCTATAGACTCACCCCATGATCCAACGTCGTGAAATCGTCAACAGTCGTAGCAATCCGAACCAACTGGTGAACTGTCAGCCCAACACTCTGTAAGATACTGAGAAGAAAGACGTACATATTCACCCAACCTGACCAATTCTCGGTCATTCGCCCCATGCCCCGTACCAGCACTGTTGAAAGCCTTGATCTTCAACCCAGAACCCGGGTTCATCGCGAAATTCCGTGATAGATCGTCTATGTGGACCGTCTATCGTTCCATCATCAGTCACTGAAGGACAAGAAGGGACCATGAGACCCACGTTCTTTGCCGACCAATGCGGGTAAGACGCCCATATATACTCGAGCGGCTTGACCTCATGCTTCACAACCTGACCACTCCTGTGCGAAAAGACCTACGACTGCATCAGCACAATCTCCATATAATCGTTTGAGAGAGACTCACCGGAAACATTGGCCCCCTATCACAAACAAAACTAACCTCAAACCCGCTCCCCTCCGTCCCCACGATCCCAAGCTCCACTAGCTTTGCCTCCAGCCACCGCCAGCTTGTCTGGGACCAGACCGCAACATCGTAGTGTTCGTACACCTGCCGGAGGAAGGTGTGGAGGCCTGGGCGGGCGCATTCGGCGGGGGGAAGGGCGCCGGATAGAAGGGGTTTGGTGTCTACGATGGCTACGCGGGATCGTCAGGTAGGATCGGGAGTTGTAAGAGGAGGCATACTATAGTCTAGATCAAGAACGAGCAGACCCTTTCCTTGCCTCGGCTGGTTCATGATCTGTTCAAATGTCAGCCACATCAAACGCCTTGTATGCAAACACTCACAGTGATAGGGATGTCACGGATAATATCTTGTATCTTTCTCTTGTTTCGAGGGTCGTCTTCTGGCTTGACAATCACTCCCTTCTTTTCCTTTGCTTTTCCCGCCCCATAATCAACATCCAACTCCCCATCCCCGCCTTCCCCTTCCGGCCCAGCACCCAATCCCGCCCTGTCAGGGTCCACAAACCGTCCCTCCACAGGCGTGCCCACAAGTACGAATTTGTGGTTGTGTTTGATATGAAGGGTCGCAAAGCGCATAGCATCATGGGACGAAGACAGCTTGCCTTTGAGAGTGGGGGAGAGGTTGATGAGTTTCTGAGAGGCCGGTGGGATGGAGGTGAGGGTAAAGATCTTTTTGCGAAAGTCGTAGACCCTGCCAGCACATCAGCTCATGTACAGTGATACGGCGGAGAACTCACATATCGTTCCCGCCGACTCGGATATCAAACACCTTGCCACCCCACTGCATCTTCAAGTCCCACCATTCCTCAGATTCTTCCGCAAGAGGGACGGGAGCGACCACAGGAGAGTCTGGCTCTTGGTCCACACCCAAGTCTCCCTCTTTGTCTATGTCCATCTGCCCATCGCTATCCTGCTCACTGGTCTGGGGGGGAGGCGTGAAAGAGGATGATGACTCGTTGAAGGTGTGCGACATTTTGGCGCGTTTGGTGGATTCGGGCGAAAGAGGTACTTGTTCTGTGGCACTCTCTTGTTCAGACGTTGCCGTGCTTTGAGATACTCCAGGCTGAGGAGAGACTAGAGGAGAGACTATCCGTTTCGACTCTGACGTCAAGCTTGTAACCTCACTTTGATCGGGACAAAAGATGGAAGAAGCAAAGTCGGGCTTATCGCCATCACCTTTCGACAAGTCATCGGTGGTTATATAATTCACAATGGGAGTGTCTGGAGTGTTCTCCTTTGTCAAGGGTTCAGCGGAGTTGAAAGTGGCTCCTTGTGCGAAAGGGGGCTGCCCCGTATCGCTGGTGCTGGGAGCTGAGGGAGTGGGAGATGGAGAGGAGGGCGGTGGCGCGTTGTTTTGGGACATGGCGAGTCGTCTCGGGGCTGGTGGATGTGGTTTGTACTCGGAATTCAAAGGACAATAATGGCACGGACTCAAGATTGGTCGTAGATGGCTTTGGTTTGAGACGCCGCGATCTCATCGTTGTCAACAAGCCAACGGGATCAAATTGATCAAATTCGCCTCCAACGTCATCGCCAGACAGATGTTGAGTGAAAGCTGCACCCAGTATACCCAGCAGCTTCATTGCATCGATAAGAGTGGTACCAAACAATGAACAATTGCATCAACACAAATGACTCGTGTGGGTTTATACAACGACACTCTAAGAGTTGGAACTCGAAACTCTCTGCGTTCTATGGCGAGCAACATTATATGATGTTACGAACAACTCGAGACCGATCATAACGGCGCATGCAATGAATGACTGGGTATGCGAAAGGAACTTGGTGATTTATCAATAGTCCGTGATAGAGAGCTCAACACCCGAGCACTCAGTATGACCCTCGAGGTTGGAGGGTTCTAATTTACAATCCGACTCTGCCGCTTCTCCACCTTCTTCCCGCCCGGTCCCGGTCCAAGGGCTGGAGCAGCAGCATCAAGCACCACACTCCTTCTCCAGTCCTCCATCTCCTCTTTCCTCCTCCCCTCTCCTCTCCCTGCCATACTCTCCCTTCCCTCTTCCCGTGCTCGTCCAGCCCGCTCAGCTCGGATCCGCTCCTCTTTCTGCCTTATCTCCCATTTTTTCTTCTCCTCCTCTATCTTTTTCTTCTCCTCATGCTCATCCCCTTCTCGAAGCTTGTGCGTCACAGGCATCTGGAGCTGGGAAAGTCTGTTGCGGTGCCGCAAGGCAAGCTGGTCGTATGACATTGTGCGCGACCTTCTCTCTGGTTGTGGGCCTTGACCCTGGTCGGGAGGAGGAGGCTGAGAGCTGGGCTGGGGCTGGTAGTACGAAGCGGAAGAACTGAAACGCTGTTGTAGAAGACGTTCAGAAGAGAAAGAGCCATGATGGCCGTGGCCGTAGTAACTCTCTCGTCCATGACCTTCCGACCTTCCATGCCTCTGCTCCTGAGGGTAAGTCGCTCCACCGGCGCCACCGTCGCGAGGGCCAAAGTCAGACACCCTTTGGTCCAACATACTCTTCGTCTTTTTTCTCCGCTCTTCGATACCCCTCGCTACGCTCATAGGCATGTCGATATACTCGCTCTCCCTAGGACGTTCCCGGGAAGGAAAGTATGACGCTGTGGCAGAGGTCGGCTGGGTTGGGTATGGGGAGTGAGAAGAAGAGTGCGGAGAGGTGGGCGTAGGAGTGACAATCTGGCGAGAAGCGAGGTATGCATCCCATTCAGATGTTGGGGCCTCTTTCGCGGGGCGCACGGCATCGTTGAGAGGCTGAGTCATCACAGGCTCGAGCGGGGTGGACCTGCCCGATAGAGGCATGGACCCAACAGAGGTCGTGCGTCCTCGGGGGTCATCGAGAAGCTTGCCAGAGGCGCTAGAATATCGGCGTTCGCGATCATTTTCCCCGAGAGAAGATGAGCCTGGGGTGCCGGAGCGGAGCATATCGAGAGAGCCACGGAGACTTTCGCGGGCTTTTTTGATATCGTCGAGAAGTCGGATTTTCTCTTCGAGATCGTCGTCCGTGGACATGCCAGGAGCGGGTCGGGAAGAGGGGTCAGATCGTGGAGTGGTATCGAGGTCGAGTTTCAGCTCTTCCATCCCCAGATTGCCAAATATGCTCCCGGTAGGCGTAGGCGTATCGGGGTTGACACTCTCATACAGACCCTTCTTGTCTTTTGCGCCAGGGGCAGAGGGCTGACGTAAAAGACTCAGGGACGAAGATGGTCGACGAGGTCGGGAGAGAGAGTCGTGGTTGAGTAGAGAGAGGGTGCTACTGGCTTGGCGAGTATGGGTAAAGCTCGTTTCCTCGCTCGGTCGAGAATCGAGAGAATCGTCCCAACCGAGCTGAGGTAAGAGCACGCTCGATCGGTCCGCCGCTTGGGCCGACGCTTGCCTCTCTCGATATCCAGCCTCATAGGCCGCGTACTGCTTCTCCTTGTCTTCCACGACCTCTCCACCGGTACCATTCACTCCATACTTGCCCTCCCATTCCTCGAGCTCTACGCCGACATTCTTGAATCGCTCCGCGGCCCGAGCGACTTCGACAGCTTCGATTTTGGCATCTTCTTCTTCCTGGATGTGCTTGAGCTTTTTGGACAGGATGTTGAGGACGCGGAACTGAATAGCGGCTCCTACCTGTCAAGACGTCAGAGAGTGTTCTAAGTGTGATGGGTAGCCGCTCACAATGACGAAAGCACCAATGATGCCGAGCTCAATCATCATGGTCTGCGTAAGAGGAAACTTGGCTCCGTTGAGCTTGGGAAAGAGGTCGTGGAAACCGAGGTTGTAGATATAGAACTGTGCACTCGTCAGCCACGCCCCTGGATGGAAAGGTAAACTTACCTCTTTCAGCCCGGCTCGGGTGTAGCAGTCAACCCCCAACACAAAAGCAGTAGCGCCAATGAAACCAGTCGAAACCAACATCATCCACTCGTTTGTCAACTTTGGCAGCCCAGCAACAAACCAGGCGACCGTCATTCCTCCGATAAGGCCCCATCTTCCCAGTGTCTTCGGGACCAAGCCGCCTTCCTTGCAGGCAAGAAGGAACCAAGCGAACGTGAATCCTCCACCGGCAGAGATGGCGTGTTTGGCAAAGGTGAAGAAGAAGATACCGGCACCACCGCCTATGAGGGCAGAGACGAGGGTGGCCAGGAGGTACAGGCCGCGGGTGGTTTTGCTGGGTGGATTGGGGTTGAGAGTGTTGATGTCTGGCTCGACACTGTACCATATTAGCAAGGGTCAGACAAAAGTGTTCAATGCTTACCCGAAGCGAAGGATCAAGACGAGTGTGAAGAGCATCAGAGCGTAGCCAGAAGAGATCGCCAAGGCAGACCACCTGTTCTTGCCACCTAGCGTGGCGACGGGTATACCGGTGATGATCAAGAATGCGCCGGCGATACCATACGCTGGGTCAATGACAATATGGAACGGAATCCAGCCGTCACCCTCATGCCACAGTGTACCGTTATCAGGAGCGATGTCGTCTGTATATGTGCCGTTCGAGATGGAAGTGTTCAAGCTCGCCAGTTGGTCGTCTATAGACGTCGAGTTGGCGTCGGACGAGGAGGAGAGGGTGAAGGTGAGGGTATAGGTAGAGGGAGCGGGGTTTTCGCTCAGAGACGTGGTCGTGGGAAATGTTGTGAGTGTGGTGGTGAGTGTCGTCTGGGTGGTGGACGCCTGGGTAGAGGTGGAATTGGTGCTGGCACTAGAAGTTGCGTTGGACGATGTGCTCGCTGTCTGGCTGGCAGACTGGGACTGGGTGTTGGAGTTGGAGGAGGCCTGGGCGAGAGCGAGGGGGAGGGAGAGGGCAAGGAGTGTGAGCCGCATGCTGGGCACGAGTGCTGCGGTGGTCGTGGGGGAGGAGGGCTGGGGGGCTGGGGAGGAGGGGAGGAGGGGAGGAGGGGGCGATGGGGATACGTAGGATATTGGGGGATAGGAGAAGATGTGGGGGATGTTTGGGAAGAAAGGAGACGAGAAATGACCAGAGAGAGGTGTCCCGTTGGTGAGGGGGGTGTGTGCGGCAGACAACGACCCTGTTGGTGAGCACAGCCGAAAGGGTGCCCGGCTCACTATACCTCCTTGCCCGCCAGCTATCAGTGCGCTGGCCCTCGGAGGGTATACACGAGACTAGAAACAGGAGGCGGATGGGGAGAACAGCACCGAAATGTCACAGCGCCAACATGGCACGGGTAGTCACCCAGGGGTCGAGCAGCACAGCCCCGCCTAGATACAGAAACAGCAGAGATCGTATTTCGATCGCAAGTATATGTATGGCTGCAGGTATCAGCGCGAGCGCATGCCATGTATGAGAGGGGTATGCATACCTAGCCAATATATAGCGGAAGATAATAAAGCCAGGAAAGAACAAGATCATGCGCGGTACGCGCCCGACGGCCTCAGCGTCAGGGTTCCCTACAACCCAGTCACTTTGAAGCGCGCTCCGAAATCAATGCTAGGTTATGTTGGCTCAGGATAGTACAAATCAGATGGCGTGAGCGAGAGATAAGCAATCGTTTGAGAATGGTCTGTATGGTCCACTTTGCGATAGCCGCGGGACCGCAGGTGGTAATCTGGTCGCTTTGGGGTAGACGATCAGCGACCACATTCATCCAACACCCGGCGCCGATCGACCTCCAAATTCAGAGTTCTCAAATAATACATGTCTCTTACACAACCCCTTCCCATCTTATCTCTAGCTCGAAAAGAATCAAGCGGCGACGGCCCACTTTTTGGCGGCTTCGTCAAACGCCAAAGTCTTCTCAGCGAGATCGATGGCGTAAGGGTGGGCGGGCTCTGTTTCTTGCAATTTACTGAACTTTTGTAAGCCGGCAACACGACGAAATAATCATGACAAGATGGCAGGATACTCACGAAGCAAAGTCCTTCAATCCCAAGCTCGATCCAACACCCACCAAATCCGCCTTCCCCTTCGCTCCACCGCTCTTCAGTCCCTCCTTGACGTCCTCCTCTGCTTCTTCCTTCTCTCCCAACAACAAGTGGGCGCCAGCGTGAGCGGCCAGGATAGGGGGTGTACGGCCAGAGGGGAGTTGGTAAAGTTCTTCGTAAAAGTAGAAGGATTGGTGGAGGGGTTGAGCGCCCTATAGAGAGTCAGAGTGACTTGGCAAGCTCGGGAAGATGTACGTACAGATTTGAGACCGATCCAGGCTTCAATGGCCTGGATAAGCATAGAGTCGTTGCCGATCCTCTTGGCAGCAGTGTATGTTTGGAGGGCAAGGTCGCGTCGGTTGAGCGAGAGCAAAAGTTGCACCAGGATTGCGATGCTACTCTTGTTAGCATGCCATATAGCCACATGAGCAGTGAATAGCTCACCACTCGAGATCTTCTTTAGCAGCACCGTCGGCCAAAGTAGCGACAGCCTCTTCCTTCTCCCCTGCCAGGATGAACAGCCCACCGGCGACTGCTCGGACGAGGGCCTCCCCAGCCTCACCCTCACACTCGAGCACCACATCTCTGATCTCTTCCACCTTTTCTTCCTCGGGAGAAGCGAGGTATTGCGCAAAGATATCCACAGCGCGCGCCTGCAATGCCGGGGACTCGCCAGCGAGCCACGGGGCAAGCACAGCACGAGACTTCTCAATATCTACCGGTGAGAGCGCGAGGTGGGATCGGGCAATGTAGACGGCGCGGCCGAGGGCATCTTCGGGTGACTCGAGGTCGTCGGTGGGTGGGGTGTGGAGGAATTCTGTGGCGGAGTCGATGCAGGCTTGGAAAGAGGACTGGTAAAAGAGTTGCTTGGTGTGATAGAGGGGGTCGGCTTCCATTTTGAGGGGTGTTGTCTGGGATGTGGGGTGTATGAGTGATAGAAGAGAGAGGGATGGAGGAGATGAGCGCGTCGTGGAAGACGGGATCAAATGGTAACGTAAAGTTCAGCGTCACGACTTTTGCAAGGGGGCGATGGGCATGCTGCATGACCTGCATCTCATGACATAAGTTGATCCTCATCTTCCTCGTGCATCAGCGGATCACAAACAAGAGTAAGCACTGCTGAGATACATATATAGTGACTGTACCAAATCCACACTGAATGAAACGCCTCCTTGTACATATACGTATTTCGGCATTCCCAAACGCGACGACCAGGGCCAATCACTGCAATCATCATCACCCCCATACTCCTTTGTCCGACTGCCCTCTTTCGGGCCGGAGATCGAAGCCTGCTCGGATTGATGACCCTATTCTTAGAGAGCGAGACAGAGGGGGGGATGGCCATGAAACGCTCTGTGGATGCACTGAGGACTGCCCATTTACGTGGGACGCAGGACAGGGTCCTTTGGAGGAAGTCGCTGTGTATGGCAGGGTATCCGCTTGTGCCGCTTGGCCTCCCCCAATCATCTTAGCATGTCCCTCCACAGTATATATACTAGCAGTCTCCCCTTGTTTTCTCTTCCTCCTTGTCCACTGGATAATATGCCAAACAAAGAAGAGGACAGCATATTCAACCAAGAACTCCACCTCTACGTGCGTCCCTTCTCCATCCCATGGACCATTCTTACCAGAAGCAGGTAGTAGAGACCCACGCGCCATACACCTCCTGGTCCGGCTGCATCTCTCCCTATGCACAGCTCAAACACATCCTCCAGGTCTGGTTCGAAGACTCCCATGAGGAAGAGTACTTGGCCACTGGTTCCGCCGACGAGCTCGACCTAGAGGGGTGGCGCTTTGAGGTCTATCAGGAGGGGAGACAGAAGGAAGATGGCGAAGATGCCAAGGGCGTTGTCATCAATGGGGACGAGGTCAGTCCCATCTTCTACGCTACAGATGCTGTCCCCATGCCTCATGGCATGCTTTAAACTCACACATGACCCAGTCTCCAATCGCACTCGGTATCCTCAATGCCGGCATCATCTACGCCACCCGTATCAACCCCGTCGTCTCTCCCATTACCACCACCCCTTCGTATGCAGCATGCACACGCCCGAGCACGACGAGGTCGAGCTCGTATGCGTCGTATGGGGGTGGGGGCTATCAAGCAGCGACGGAAAGGGCTAGTGCGATGGTCGAGAGGGCCGACGGATGTGCTTCTGGCACGAGCATGTATCCGAGCTCGCTGCCTATGCGCTCTTAGTCTCGATGGCCCGCGCACGCCATACCCAACATTTTTTTCACTCGGGTGCTCTGTATCAACAGCTTTCGGCACTGTGCCGCTTGTTTCGCAGAGGTTACGTTATCGCTCCCCGTTGAGAGTCTCATGTAGCGGTACTATAGCATTATATATGTCAAGAACTTCATTTTCTTCTTTCACCACACCCTCTTCTTTCTATCTTATGGTACATAAACGGGAACCAAATTACTGGATGTATGATATCACAATCCTAGATGGACAATTATGGGCCTTGTGTGATCTGATACATGTCTGAGGACGGTTTGCGTGGATATGAAAGAGAAGATGAGCGGAACGATGACGTTGGAACTTTAGCCTCACGACGGCTTGTTGATGCTATGAATGAACTCACGGTCTTGCTAGTAGATCAGCTTCTTGTCTCCTGTCCCATTATTCTTGTCCATCGCAAAGAGCACACAATTATCTATCCCAATCGACTGTCCCGCCGCTCCCCCACGCTTATAATACAATCTGAGCGTACACTTGACCGCCCGGCGTCGTGATCGTACGTACTCGTGCCCGACGGCGTTGCCATCTGACTCATCATCTCGCTGCAGACTCCTCTCTGTCGCCCTGTACCGTCATGCAAGCCACGTGAACTCGGATCGCCATGGTACACGCACCCTCCGTCGCCAGCTCTCACAGAAACTCGGCGCACGGCCTCACCACGTTCCCAAACCCCTTCCAGGATGAGCCGGAGCAGGGCATCCTCCCATCATTCCTCTCCAAGGTCAAGCAGACCTTCACCTCCGGATCATCCACAGCAGCCATAATATCACAACAGGCAAAGCCTGACAAAGGAGGATCAGATAGCAATGTCGGGAATTATGCGTATGAGGAGGATTACAGCAAGATCCAGCCGCCTCGAGAAGGAGGACAGACAGAAGCTCAGGCGATCGCAGAGGCTGTCATGCGCAATAGGGCTCAAATGGCCACTGCTGCTGCCCATGCCGCTTCCGTGCAGCAGGGGCGAGTATCCACCGCAGCCGTCCCTACAATTGTGCAGCCTGGCGCAGACCCGCCTGCCTCTGCCCCTATGCAGCCAGCCCATTCCACCTCCCCTCTCGCCACTCTCTCCATGAAGTCTCCTCTGAGCACCGTCAATTCGGCTGGCAGCACTTCTACTCAGCCTACGGCTGCTCCCCCGTCCGTCGCGTCTTCGCACAATTCGACAGTGCCTACCAAGCGCACGCTCGTGCCTAGCGAACGTCAATGGAGACCCTCGGGCGTTGCGCCTGCACAGGTCACTATATCTCCTGTGACTACAACTGTCCAGACAGCGAGCAAAGAGCCCCCGCCTTCTCCCGGGCCAAGGTCGGTGCCGTTCCCAATATCAAAACCATCCCACCGTACCCACATTCATCTCTCCAACACTGCCGGCCCTTCGTCTTCTCGCTCAGCCACCCCTCTCCACCATCATGCGCACAGTAACTCGCTAGGTATGACTACTGGGAAACGAGCTCGTCGGTCGAGTATCGCGACTCTTCCAGACTCGCCTTCATCACTGTCCATTTCTGGAATGATAGCAGCCAATGCCGAACTTCAGAGTCATTATGTGCCGGGTTTTCCTATATCGCAGGATGATACGCGGAGTGTCAGAAGTATAGGAGCTGTAAAGAGACTCAATGGGATGAGCAGGATCATCAGGAGGATGAAAGGGGAAGGACTGAGCAAGCAATATTGGATGGCGGACGAACATTGTAAAGAGTGCTATGATTGCAAATCGGTGAGTACCTTCGGCCGGGTGTGGCTAGAGCTAATGAAATACAGCTATTCACTGCTTGGCGGAGAAAACACCACTGCAGAATCTGCGGCCAAATCTTTTGCTCTCGATGTGCGTCAAACATCATCAATGCTCGGCGATTCGGGAAAGATGGCGTGTTGAGGGTGTGCAACCTTTGCCTGAAGATCATGGAAGAGTACAAGGAAGACGACGAAGATGACCGGCGCTCTATAAACTCCGTCTCGACCTCTGTACACCGGTACCCCAGTATAACAGACAGGGCCTTCCTCGACGCTGCCATCTCGCCAGAACTCCAGTACGCCAAATCACCATTCGCGGCCAGCCAGCTCTTTGCCTCGCATCCCAACGACTCATTAACGGCCATCGACGAAAGCTCCGTGTCAGGACCATTCTCTCGCTGGGGGAATGAACTATCTCATGAAGAGGATATCGAATTCCAGAGGCCATTTTCGCCGAATGACGGGTCGGACGGAGAAGGTGGGCAGATGTGGATTGGTAAAGCACCAAAGACTGCTGCACCTTTCCGCCGACCTATGGAAATGGACCAAAAGATTCAACCAGAGTCAGAGCTGCCTGATCCTGAAAACGAGACGCCTGGCACACCTTCGACCGCTCCACCTTCTGGCCCTATCCTCGGCGGAGCTCACAGGAATGTGTCTCTCCCGAGGTTGGAGTTCCCAAGAACGTACACCATGTCGACAGACGGGGATGAAGGGAGATCGCCGCTGGAGCGGAGCGAATCTAGCCACCAGTTGATCGGACTTCGGACGAGGGCGAGTCAGGCAGGGTTGACTGCGTTGTTGGATGGGGAGAGGACCGAGGGTTTATGGAGAGCGAGGTCGCATTCGTTTGCGTAAGTCGGCGCGTGCTTCACGGAGAGCGATGCTGACTTGCTGGTAGAAAACAACCGGAAATGCTGTCAGGCGCCAGTCTGCACCACTTCCAGCTGATGCTCGCTCAATCAATATCCCGCGCCGACCTGCCAAGACCCGAAGAATGGCATCGCGTTTTGAGCAATCTCATACTGAAAGTTCCCAACAACCTGCAACCCAATGTCCGGGCCGGGGACGATATTGACGTGCGGTCCTATATCAAGATCAAGAAGGTGCCAGGCGGAAAGATCAGTGACTCCGAGTATGTGGATGGGATTGTGATTACGAAGAATGTGGCCCACAAGACCATGTCGAGGCGATTATACAACCCACGTATCATGGTCGTCACCTTTCCCCTCGACTACCATCGGGTCGACAACCAGTTCATGTCCCTGGATCCCATTCTTGCTCAAGAGAAAGATTACCTCCGTCTTCTCACAAAGCGCATCATTGACGCCAAACCTCACATTGTCCTCGCCCAATCCTCGGTCTCCCGTATCGCCCTCGACTACCTCCTCGAGTCAGACATTGCCCTTGCGCGTAATGTCAAGTCTTCTGCCGTGCATCAGGTAGCTCGCTGCACAGGAGCCGATATCGTGGCATCCATGGATCGTCTTGTGCTCCAGCCGCGCATGGGAAGGTGTGGCGAGCTCCAAATCCAGAGCTTTGACCATGAGCTTATCCCTGGCCGAAGAAAAACGTTGATGCGGTTCGAGGGAGCAAACAGGGAGCAGGGATGTACAATCATCCTGAGAGGTGCAGACCTCGAGACACTGAGGAAAGTCAAAGTGATCACAGACTTCATGTCTTTGGTGGCGTATCATCTCAAGATGGAGATGATCCTCTATAATGATGAGCACAACATCGTACCGCCTGAGCCTCCTTTACCTGCAGAGTATCGGGAGCTGTTGAATATGCTGGAACCCCGCCCTTCGGCGGCATCCTCGCTGGCAGAAAGTGTCACGTCTGAGACTTCATCCATCCGTGACCCGCCCGCTACGCCAACTCCTCATAGTGTCGACACGCTCGATCCCGAGTCTCCTACCACCCCCAAGCCCAACTCCACTTTCACTACCAATACTGCTGCCAGCAGCATACATGATAATGACGACGACGAGAGGGAGAACGAGAAACGGGAAGCTCTCGAGGTCACTAGCCAGATCGCGACTTCCCTGCAGCCGTACCTGAACACAGTACTATCGTCTTCCGCTGCCATCAGATTCCCGCCACCAGCTATACTTGCCAAGATGGCAGAGCTGGATAGGAGGCTGGCGGAGCTCAGACAGAGCAGAGATGAAGCCGAGGCAGCGCAGATATTGGAGGAGGAGACAAAGATCATAGAGCCTCCGAAGACTAGTCTTCTTCCAGTGGCTGTTCATGATGGTGGTGATACGGCGTCGATCCACACAATAGCATCCACAGCTACTGGAAATTCAACAGCTACATCCACCGAGCCTTCTGCCGAACTGCCAAGTAGTGCTGCTATGAGCGCTCTTCCAACTTCTACATTTTCGACTGTCACACACAAGGGCAAAGATATCGATCGGGACCCATACCGCGTACTTCGGAAACCAGACGAAGTTTCGAAAGAGAGTGCCCTGGCACAAGTTCAACACGCGCACAAGGAACACCTCAAGCTGTGGCAGTGGCATATACGCCGCTTCGCGCCAGAGCAATTGCGACCAGAAAACTACCAAGGGATCGTGTTTCTGTCCTCTTTGGGCTGTGAAGGTACCGATAAACCCTGTGTGGAACCGGCCCTCAAGCACATCGATCTATACCAGGCCGGTGACCAAACTGTGGGGCAGTTCATGGAGACATTGACTGCCACTGCGCTCGAGCCCTGCCCTAGCAAGACATGCGAGAGGCTCCTATTGTTCCATTTCCACCTTCTTGTTCACGGTGAACGGCGACTGCAAATCGTCTTGGATCAGTTCCCGTGTCCTTCTCCAGGCCATGAAGAACATATAATCACTTGGTCTTACTGTCGACAATGCACGACGCCATCGCCTACAACGATCCTGCGAGAAGAGACTTGGAAGATGTCGTGGGGCGCTTACTTGGAACACTGCTTCTACCCTCCAGAGACACCTGCCGGTTTCTCGTGTCCCCACGACGCCTACCGCGATCAAATTCGCTACTTTGCCCACCGCAATCTCGCGGTTCGAATCCACAACGAGCAGATTGATATCTTCGAGCCAGTCAGACCTTCAATTTCTCTACAAGTCAAGGCAGAAACGAAGGTAGCCCTCAAGAATAGGGAATATGAGGTGGCGTTGGCGAAGAATGGGGCGTTCTTCGATTCAGTGGTCACGAGACTCAAAACCATCGATGTGAACGTTGTCCAG